GTTAAGCGTATGTTTAATATTTCCAGTTACAGTTAAACGTCCTTTTAAATTGAAGTCGCTTTTTTTTTAATAAACTTGAGTTCATTTTTGGCTTTAATAGTAAACAAAATTGGTGGAAGCCTACATTTTGACCTCAGAACTAGCCAAAACTGGCAATAAATCAATAATTCTTACTAAAGCGGGAGTTTATGACAAACGAAATAAGAAATTGACATATTATATGACTGAATGCATTTGTAATTCTCACTGGACGAGTCCAGTCTAATTAGATGTTTTCAACAAAACCCAGGTTAACAATGAAAGGAAAATGGAAAATCAGAAATATAACTCTACATATATATTCTCTATCTATCAGGTAGACAGGAACTACATAGCTACTCATTTATTGAACGGGTGCATAGTATATCAAAAGAAACCAGATAGAGATGCATACAAGGTTGAGGAGGCGCCCACAGAGACAAAAGCGTACAAGCAACGCCTTCGTTGCTGGTAAATTGGCTTTTGGCACGCTTTTAAACTGCAGCCGAACAACAAAGCAAACACGCCACAAACAAATAGCGAAAACGAGAAGAAAGCATAAAGTACAACAGAAAACAGGTCGGCATCTGCAGTAATTTGATAATTAAAGCATCAGATTTAAGCAGAAAATCACTCAGCTCCAAATGTGGAACGGTCTTTATGCCATCCAAGGATAGAAGACTTTAATCGTCATTTAATTGATCTTAATAACAAGAACAGTAAAATGACATTTTCTACCGATACTTGACTGAATCGAAGTATGATTTAAATGACTGATTTCCAAAACTACCAAAGCTATAGTTTTGATGCATTTTTCATACTTATGCAACATTAATAAACTTATATCTATTCACATAAATTTAAATGTTATCGAATATTTCACATATCTATTTGGAGTAGAGATGTTTTTTCCGGTCTCAACTCTTCACAACTGTAATAACTATTGCGCAAAATTGATTGCGACAAGGCAATAAAGCAATTGCAATTGCCTGTGGATAAAAGTCACGTTCAATGTATTTGTCACATTTTATATTTTAGTTACCTTTTGCATTTCGCTCTGTTTTTAGTCTGTCAAATACAAGTGTGTAGTATGAATTATTATGAAAAAACTATAATAAATAATAATAATAAAAACGTTGTAGACATCGATAAATTAAGGCTTGTTAGCAAATATTTGATAACCGCATGTGGCCTTTGCATTTATGTAAATTTTAGCCCACATTAACATATTTAAATATATATATATACATTCATGTGTAAGTGCGGAAGAAAATATAGCATCAAAAGAATAATCAGTCTTTGTTAGATGATATTTTTCAATAACACACACCTATTGAGCTTGTAAATTAATATAATAAACTCCAAACATTAAGTACTCGATTTGTTGGCCTTTGAACAATTATTTTGTACGAAATTAAATATTGATTTGTTGATCCCCTTAAATTATATACGAAAATACTAAATCACAGCTGACAATTGATAACAGGCCTATTTTTTGTGCCGGCACTGTATTTGTATATCACTCGAACACTTCACACAATTGTGTTAATTTGCAGCGGATCTGGCAGCACTGGGTTGATTTGAGTAACTGCTCAATCGAAACTTGTTAATTGGACGAGAGCAGGTTCGGCATTCAGTCAGTCAATCAATTAGAACCCGTTCATTGTTACCCCTGTCGCGTGTGTGTGTGTTGTCCAATTGGTATTTTAACGGAAATAGAACAAACGTCCAAAAATGGAGCGCCCTCTGTGGGCAGGTGGGCAGACACAGCAAAGCAAGGCGGCCACTTCCGTTTCGTTGTGTTTGTTCGCTCGCTCTCTCTCTCTCTCTCTCGTTCTCCTTTGCGGCTCTCCGTTGAAATAGGTAAATAAATAAATAATTGGCCTACCTCAGATTCGCAGCGGAATTTTTATTGAAATCACTTATTCACACACTGCAAAAACCGATTTTATCGTTAACGAAAAAGTTGCACTTTGTTCGCATCTGTATTTTCTGCGTATGTTTCAGTTTTTTATCCCAAATGCGCGCTTAAAAGCAAGGCACGGCAGGCAGACAGGGAAAGGGGATAAATGCGACAACACATGTAAAATACAAGCGACGACTGTGACGGCGACTGCGAAACGACGTGGGCAAAGACGTTGAATGGCGACGGGTGGGCGTAGGGCAGGCAGCAGCCAGCAGCAGTCGTCGTCGCACACAGATCTTGTTAAAGCGAATGCGGTGCTAAAAGCAATAAGACGAGAAGCGAAAAGCAAAACACAGCAGCAAATTATGAGTGTGCGTATGCCTGTGTGTGTCTATGTGTCTGTGCTCGTTTTGCATGTGTGTTTGTGAGTATATGGTAATAATGTAGGTGAAATATAAGAATCAAATACGAACACAAACAAAAAATGCCAATAAGAATGACGACGTGTGCTAGCAAGCAATGACAGCAAGACAGAGCGAGAGAGCGCACGCGAGCAAGAGTGAGAGAGAACAAACACTTTAAGCAGAGCAGCTGCTTGAGAAGAGATCGCAAAATCAAAAAAAAAAAAAAAAACGACTTTGATTTCAATTTGTAGACACTAATTTTTTTTTTATATACATATTTGTATATATATATTTTTTTTTACACGGTAGTTAGGTAACGTTTTGTCTACATGAGTTATGCTGCTCATAATCTTAACACATTCTTTATAGCCTGTGACGACACACACACACACATATAAGCACACACACACACACACATACACGTACACACACACACATACACGCACACACACACACACACGCATATAGACAGGCATATATACTAGCAAACATACAAAAGTGTGTGGCTGCTGCTGCTGCTGCTCTGCTGCGAGCAGCCAACAAAATCGATATTCTAAAAATAATATACTTTGAAAAATACAAAAAACAAAAACAAAAAATAAAAAGGAAAATATAAAGCACAAATGAATTTCAATTGTTGCCAGCAGCAGCGACTGACTGCCGGTTGCCCATCTATGTACATATATACATATGTATGCATGTGTGTGTGTGATTGTATTTGTAATTATGCAGTACATACAAATTGATTTACACTTCTACAATTTAATTGCGCACTTAAGAAGAGATTTGCATTTAGTTTTGTAGGATTTGCTTGCAAAATATGTTTAGCTTCTTTTTATATTTGATATTCTCTTTCGGATTTCGTGCACCCAACAACCGACGACGACAGCGACGTACGGCAACTAAAACGACGTCGCGACATCGCTGCTGCTGCTGCGGCACAAAGAAAGCCGTTTTTTTTTTTCTTCTTTTTCGGTTTGCGCTCTCTGCTGCTGCTGCTTCTACATGCATGTATATGGGAGCGTGTGTATGTGTGTGTGTCTCCCCTAAAGCTCGAGAGCCACACACACACACGGAACGGGGACCAAAGCAAAGATACAAGAAATAGAAAAAGCACTTGGACTAAAGAAAGAAGAAACGGAAAGAAAGAAAGAAAGGAAAAAAAAGCGGCAGCTACGCGAGTTTATTTATTTTCATGTAATACGGTAACACTGCGAAAGACACAGTGCCGTGTTTGGCGACAGGTGGAGAAAAAGAAGAAGCAAAAGAAGAGCAGCTGCACTCGTTCTTGTTTTTGTTGTAGTGTTGTATAGTAAAAGTAGCGAAATGTGTAGTAGAGATAATTTGTTGGGGTTGTTGCTTTTGTGAATCACTAACACTAACACACATACACACACACACACACGCATACACATGCAAATGCTGAGCGAGCTCCAAAGTGGTGTTCTCACCACTATGTGGGGTGTGGTGAGTTCCAATTGAAATAACATCTGAATATGTATAGTATATTTTTCTTGGACACAAAACATAAGAAAACGTATGCCAAAAAAACACAAACAGGTAGTTTTAAAAAGCTGAAATCTAAATTTAGCTTTTAACACAGATTTTTTGCTTGTAAGTTATAGCTTAAGTTTAGCCGGTCGGTCGGCAATTAAAATGTTTTAAATATCATCCTGGCAACAACAACATTCACAGCAACTCACCACAAATGATTGTTTCCGCTCTCCCGAACTTTAGTTTGAGCGTATGCGTATGCGGGTTGTGTGTGAGTATGTGTGCGTGTGCTACTGCGCGCAATCTCTTTCTCACTCTTGCTCTTTTGGCTGCTCCCACTTGGCAGAATTTGAACACAGGGCACAATTATTTGACTTATTGAGCTTCTTACTTAATTTTGTATATGATTAATTTTAACACAATCCTGACAACGTCGCTTGGAAAGCAAGAAAAATACCTTTGCTGCATTAAATGTTTTTGTACATGTTGCGAAACACACGAAATATGAAATATATATTAATACAAATTCACACCTTTAATTTTTGTGTTAGAGCAGCGCAGCTGCCGTGCAAAACGCGGCGCACGTACACACTCAAAGCGGCGACGACAGCGACAGCGACAACGACAGCGACGACGACGACATTCGCATTTTTTCACAGTGCGTTTGGCGTTTGCTCAACCACTTTTTTTTGTTGTTTTTCGTTTATGATTTGCATTGACAATGGCGAACACACCTGCCACAATTTCAATTGAAAATCATTCCTGGCACTTTCATTTACACTTTGCGACTATTTAGTGCAGCCGGTGATTAAATTTTATGCCAAAAAATTTCAATTTTGTCAAGCGGCAACTTGCGATTGTTCACACAGACACAGTAGAAAGTGACGCCATCTTTAAAGGGGTCGCTGGACGTTCAGTCTTGTGTTAGTGTTGGTTATTACGCCGCAGATTTCTGAGCGGCTGTTTGCCCTCTTAAATATCGATATATGGTATTGAAAGATATTTTGAAAATATTAATTAAAGATAAGTAAAAGTTTGTAATTCAAATAGTATTTTCAACTTGATAACAAATAATCAGCAACAATGTGCACAATTTAAATTGCATCGATCTGGCAGCATCGTAACGCACGAACTCGCTGGCAACACCCTGTTCGATAACAAGTAATCGACTGGCAAAGTGAATCAGAATGAAATAAACGAAACTCAATTGATTAGCAGAAACGGTAAAAAAAAGTGGTTAATTGGAGTAATTTGGCATAAAGCAGCAGCGCATTTTGAGCCAAAACTCTCTCGGCGTGCCCCGCAGTTGAAAACGGTTTTACGAGTAGCCCGCGACGAACAGCAGCAACAGCAAAAAACAGAAAAGATGTCCTCGCTATCCGCATCGGCGGAAAATGTGTCCACAATGGGAATTGGCAGTGGACCCGATTCCAATTCGCATCATGGATCCGATGGTGGCTCAAGCATGTGCCTGGAACTGGCGTTGGAGGGTGAGCGTCTCTGCAAAGCGGGCGATTGTCGGGCGGGCGTTGCCTTCTTTCAGGCAGCCATCCAAGCGGGCACCGACGATCTGCGCACCCTTTCCGCCATCTACTCGCAGCTGGGCAACGCCTACTTCTATTTGGGTGACTATGCCAAGGCGATGCAGTATCACAAGCATGATTTAACACTAGCCAAATCGATGAACGACAAACTGGGCGAGGCCAAATCCTCGGGCAATCTGGGCAATACTCTGAAAGTCATGGGCCGCTTCGATGAGGCGGCCATTTGTTGTGAACGACATTTGACCCTCGCTCGCCAACTGGGTGATCGTCTGTCCGAGGGACGTGCCCTCTACAATCTGGGCAATGTCTACCATGCAAAGGGCAAACATCTTGGCCAACGTAATCCGGGCAAGTTTGGCGACGATGTCAAGGAGGCATTGGCCAAGGCAGTTGAATTCTATCAGGAGAATCTGCAGCTGATGCGCGATTTGGGTGATCGTGGAGCGCAGGGACGCGCCTGTGGCAATCTGGGCAACACATACTATTTGCTCGGCGATTTCCAGGTGAGTTTAATGACTAAAATTACCAACAATCTGTCAGGACTCAAGTACAAAACTCCTCTTATGTAAAACTTTTTTAAATGAATTTTTGAAAGTATTTGAAATTGGTCTTTCAATAATTGGTAATTTATTAAAATATTCATATTCAAGTCTTCAATCTTAAACTATTATTTTGGAAATATTTTTTTAACTTCTCTGTTTGACATAAGTTTGAACCTAGAAATTTTCCAATTTCGTTTGGTTTTTCATGCAGTTTTGCAAAACATTCTAAAATTAGTCTTTACTAATCGTTTCATTCAAAATATTCCTCATTCACTATTCGCCTTTAATTTTTGTAGATTTGGGTCAGCTACAGAATTGACTTAAATATATAAAAATCATTAACTTGGCTTTCTCAGTCTGATTATTTATCTGCTTTGCTCTATATATTTCGCTAATATCCTCTCAATCTCCACACAGGCTGCCATTGAGCATCATCAGGAGCGTTTGCGCATCGCGCGTGAATTTGGGGATCGGGCTGCCGAGCGTCGAGCGAACAGCAATTTGGGCAATTCGCATATTTTCCTCGGCCAGTTCGAGGATGCCGCCGAGCATTATAAGCGCACACTGGCCCTGGCCATGGAGTTGGGGGAACGTGAAGTGGAGGCGCAATCCTGCTACAGTCTGGGCAACACTTATACGCTGCTGCACGAGTTCACCACAGCCATTGAGTATCATCATCGGCATCTGGCCATTGCCCAGGAGCTGGGCGATCGCATTGGCGAGGCGCGTGCCTGTTGGTCGCTTGGCAATGCCCATTCAGCGATTGGGAACAATGAGAAGGCGCTCCAGTTTGCCGACTCACATCTGCAGCTGGCCAAAGAGCTGCGCGATCCCGTTGGCGAGAGCACGGCTCGTGTGAACATTTCGGACTTGCGCAAGCTGCTCGGCTTGCCGGAGGCGGAGCATACGCCCACACAGGAGGAGGAACGCTCCACTGCCTCAGATCACTCGGCCAGTGGTCATCAATCAGACAGCTCAGAGAACTCGCAGACTCGCATGGTAAGTGCTGGATTCGATTCGAAGTCGCTTTGCTTAAAATTTGTATTTGAATTTTATTTGCTCAATTTTACTTCACACTTTCGTTTAGAAAAAGTAAAAAGTAACTTTATCAAGATCTTGGCTTTGTCAACTTTTTTTTCTTTGTTTGTTTATCTGTGATTCATAATATAATTAAAAAAAAAACATTGCTTATCTAAAATTGCGATAAGTTTGCTTTATATCAAGCCGGAAACTAAAAATTGAGTTTCTGTCGTGGCACAGTTTACTGATTGCTTGCAATAATATTGCATTTTGTGTTGCTTATTTTTTAAAACGAAATATTTAAATTTAAAAAAGCAAATCAAATTCGAACTAATAATTAATGATATTGTTAAACAACAAGTAGACGGAGCTATCTACGAATGGGCAACAATTTTGAAAGCGAAAAGTTTTTATGTAGTTTTCGAACTTTCCAAAGTAATTTTAAATTTCAATCTGAATGAATTCAATGAAATTGCTTATTTCAGCAACATCAACTTGTCGCATTCGATTTCTCAAGCATTATTAAAACAATTCTATTTTTGTTTAGGTACGCGTTCGTCGCCAGAGCATGGAGCAATTGGATCTGATCAAGATCACGCCGGATGGCAAGCGTTTGCAGGAGGAGAAGAACAAGGCGACAACGGCCGCCCACACAAAAGCCAAAGAGGATGATTTCTTTGAGATGCTCTCTCGATCGCAATCCAAGCGCATGGACGATCAGCGCTGCTCGATCAAAATCAGCAGTGGAGCAGCTGGTGGGGCAGCAGCGACTGGCGCCACACGCAAGCCGTTGGTGCAGCAAAATTCGCTGTTTGTCGACCCCACCAATTTGCCGGGTCTGAAGTCGCCGTCGTCGACGGTGGCGCCGAGCAGTGGACATGCACCACTGACGCGCAGTGCGACGACCACTCAACAACCGGATGATGCGTTCCTCGATATGCTGATGCGTTGTCAGGGCTCACGTTTGGAGGAGCAACGCTCCGAGTTGCCACGTGCACACGTTACAATGGATGTGGAGGCGCCACAGCTGCAGGCGCCCGTGGCAGCCGCCGCGACTAGGAGCAGCGGCACCACCGTGCCCGACGAAGATTTCTTCTCGCTCATCATGAAAGTGCAGAGTGGCCGCATGGAGGATCAGCGTGCTTCGATACCCTTCGGCGGCTTTAGCAATGCTCAGCGTAATGCGCGCAACAACAATAATAATAACAACAACAACAATAACAACAATGCTGGCCGAGGTGGTGGTGCAAGTGGTGCGGCTGCCTCCAAGTAAACGCTGTCCCAAATTTCTGTCCACGTTTTTTTTTGCTGGCAGCTGCTCTTTTATCATCATTTTGTTATACATCGCGTACATTTGGGCCATTTGGGCCGTTCTTGGCTAAGATTTATTTTATAAGATTTATATACATTGAAATTGAAACAGTTTTTGTTTTAGCAACTAAACAAGTAACCAAATATTTATATTGTTTGGGTTATGAACTGTGCCCAAATCGTGTGCATCGCTGCTCTTCCACATTTCGATGCATTTGTTTATTACTCATACCAACACCCATAATCGCACACACCCACAACATAAACAACATTTACATAAGATAATACATAAATATGCAATTATACAGATATACAAAGCTATACTAATATGATATTGACTTATTTCTCGAGCATGCTTCTTAAATGTCCACACACAATTTTAAAGATATTAATGTTTGAATTGCATGTAACTAGTTGTTAAGTCAAAAATAGTCCAAAAATATCGCATTAGAATGCAGCATAATCGATTATATACAGTGATCGCTAGAAAAATGCATCTTGCAGTAATTCAAATCTATGTGTTTTAATCAATCTAAAATGTTTTGTTTTATATCTTTTAAAATATGGAATGATTCGATTTTTATATATATATTTTTTTATTGTATATAAATGATAGATTTACGGAAATTTGTATAACTAACACAAATCGAAATCGAAACTGGTTTCATTTTCTAGCGATCACTGCTCTTTTGCTATTCTTATTGAGATAATCGCGACTTTTTCCAATTGTAATAACTCTTTAAAACTCTAAACAAATCCAACAAACTACTTTCATCCAGATAAGCAATTGCATTTTCAAATACTTTCCAATTGTAACAATGAGTATTGCATTTTTCTATTGAAACATTTCTCTCGAATATACTAAAGAAATTTACATATATTGTATGAATTGATGTATTTCTTTTTTTCGAGATATTGACGGTATGCTTGGAGACTGCTCTTTGAGATCCGGCGCCGTTTTAGCATATAGCCTAATATACACATATACATATACAAATACATATACACATACACGGATATATAATTATCTATATACAAAGAAAAACAGATCGATGATGATCAATTGATTGATTTATTGATGAAGTGAAAGCCAAATTTATGAATGTTATTAATGAATGTATATTGAGAATGATAATTGGAATCAGATCAGATGAGTACGTAACGTATTATTAATTATTAAAATCAAACTTGTTTGCTGACAACTTGGATGTTTTTCTTTAATTGTAATGTTTTCTAATTTGCTACCTTATAGCAGCAAGAGCAATAGAAATATTGCTCTGATATTGCTACTGCTGTGAACTTCAACAGAGCCAACTGAAATGGATGCTCTCAAAATATACAATAGCAATAGCAGTAGCAAGAGCACAAAAATATCCCTTCTGCTCTCTGCTGTTGTAGCAATAAGCAATAGCACTCGGAACGAGAGCAGAGCGAGAGTTTGTGCTACTGCTACAGCAATACCTTATTTTCGTTGCTCTTTTGCTCCACGTAGCTGCTACTTTTTTATAGTTTTTTAAATTTTTAAATAATAATAATCCTGTAGCAGGGAGCAAAATAGAAATTTATTTGCTCTTGCTTCTGATATTTCTCTGTCAAATTTCAGAGCAAAAAGAGCATTTATTTCAGTTTTCTGCTATTGGCTGGGCGATTGCTCTGCGAGCAGTAGCAATTGTGAAACCAAAAACTGCAAATCAGCGTAGCATTTTCAATCAGAATCGTTAAACAACTTTCATTTCTTAGGCGGGGAAAACGGGTGAAAACTGTTGGAAAACACATAATCAAAAAGTCGATAGTTCGTTTTTAAAGCTTTATTCATAAATTAGTCGTCTTACAAGCCTAGAAAGTACATACAAACATACATATATGATAAGTGCCTGGCATGCCACCAAATGCAGCGTGGGGCATGCACCACTCGGGTGTGCAACGGAGTGGCCAAAAATTTATTTACAAATTGATTTATATAATTTAAATCTTAACAACAACAAGTGAATCAAGTTTCCCCTACGCCTTGCCACCCTTAATACTCTCCGGTTGTGTGTCCTCCAGCACGAAGATGGGCAGCGAATACTCCAATGGCTTCTCACAGCTCGTTGCCACGCCCTTGGGATAATCGTAGGCGTTCTTCTGGAGCGTCTTGTGCCAGCCCCGCTTCAGCATTACATAGACCACAAAAACGCTGACGAGAAACGCCGAACAGCTGGCCATCACAAACATGGCCAATTGCACGGATTCATCCGGTGCGGTGGCCGCTTGTGCCACTGGTGGGGCAGCGGTGCGATGTACAAAGTGTGAGCGCGTTAGATCCGCTCGGAAGTGACCACCAACGAGTTGAAAGCCACCCGAACTGATGGCCGTCTCGATGGCGAAGGCCATGTCCACCTTGGCCTCATTGTGCAGCTCGAAGCGCACAATGACCGATCCATCAAAGTTCTCCTGGACACGCAGATTCTCGACAACATCGCCCAGCAGCTGTTGCAGTTCACGCCGTATCACATCGTAGACATTGCGTACACTGCTCCCCCTGCTCCTGTTCGTCATGTGCAGCTCAATGGAGACGGCCTCGATGGGCACATGATCGCATCGCTTGTCACCCTGCCCGAAGACGTGTGTTGCCTGCAATTGATTGCCGGCAGCATCGACGCACCAGCAGCTTCTTCCGTTGCACTGCAGCGGCCGGAAGGCGCCCGCCTCATCGCAGTCCACCGGGAACGTGGCAGTCTCTGCCATGGCGCGACAACGTGTCGTGTTCAACTGCATCGGTGCGATTTCCACGGAGAGCTGTGAGTCGAGCAGTGAGTTGGCCAATTCCATAACTCGTTCCGTAACAGTGGTCGCTGTTGTTGTGGTCTGCAGCTTGGTATCCACTTCATCCAGATCCAAATCCTCGTTGGCCACATCGTTCAGCTGTGTTAGTTGGCCAATGAGCTGCTCCATCAGCGGATCACCCAGATCGTAATTCTTGCGATTGCGCGCCTGTCGACTGTTGCAAATGGGCTCAATGTCGCGGGTCAGTGTGCCCTTGAGTGGTGCACCCTTGCGATCCGCACACCAGCACACACCATACGGACTGGGCGGCTGCTGCTCCTCCTGCTGCTGCGTTGTCGCCACTGCCATGGGACTGGCAAAGGCGCGACTCACAATCTCAGTGGGACGTGGTGTGCTTGGCAGAGCGGGCTGTTTGCCCAGGCACTGCACGGGACTCCAGTGGCCGGTGATGGGATCACAGCGTGGCTGGAACCACACCGAAGAGTGTCCACTGCGCTGGGCCGCCAAGCTGTTCTTCAGCTTTAAACGTTCGCACGGGGTGAGCACTGGAAGGGGAAGACCGGGTTTAAGGATCAGATAATTTATCAAAGTAAACAATTTTGTTTTTAAGTTTATTCCTTTTGGTTATAAGTATAAAATGTATTTGAATTTAATTTAAATTTGATTTAATTTTATGTATGAAAACTGTTTTATTTTTCTGTATCAAAAATTGCAAAAAGCTGTTAAATTTAAATGAAATTTTATTTTCAATTTAATTAAGAATTTTATTGTAGAAATTAAACTAAAGAAAATCTTTAACAATTTTTCATTTAATTTTAATATGATTTAAAAGTAATACTTTATGGAATTGATTTAAATTTATATGGAAAAATATTTGTTTTCACTGTATTAAAAATGCTTTAAGAATTTGTGATTTATTTGAAATTTTTACAATTTCTATCAAATCTTCTTCACTAAATGTCCGAAAAGAATAACTGAAAATTTATCTTGTTTTTCTCACCTGGACAGACGGAGTTGCAGGCAAGTTCATTGTGGAATAGATTCTTGGTCTGGCAGGCAGCCGCCTTCGCATCGATGGCCACCTGGACGCACTTGTTGGCCTTGGGACTGAAGCGATAGCGAGTGGAATTCAGCTGCGTTGCGGCGCTGGCGAGGCACAGATTGTCCATGGACTCGAAGCAGACATCGCGTGTCTTGGAGCAGCAGACGCCACGATTGCTGACCGGATTCAGCTGGCAGGTGTGCGTCGTGGGACACGCCTCGTGCTCGTTGTGCGGACCACAGCTGACATCGAGATCGCCCTGCTGCAGCGGATTACCCTCGGCACAGACCGATGCACGACGCGGCACACAGATGGGCATCTTGGGGCAGGGACTATCCACGCACTCGACACTAATAAGTTGGCATTCCTCGTCGCTGGCACAGCTCACTTCATCGCAGTAATTGCGACACGAGCAAGTGGCGCAACCATTGGCATCCAGTTGGTAGCCGCTCTCACAGCTCACCTCACACTTGGACTGCGGACACGCGTAGCTGGAGTTCGCCCGGCAAATGGGTGTGGCCGGTGACTTGACCCTTGTGCCCGCCAACGGCTGGCCCTGTTCATCCACGCACCAGCAGTGACCATCTGGGGAGCATTGCACCTGCTCCCATTTGCCGGTTGCCGGCTCACATTGAGCCACCGTCATTTGGCGAGCGGGTATGCCCAGCTCGGAGCTCTGATGCAGTTGTATCGACTGCAGATGCTGGCAGGCGGTCTTCAGCTGTGGCTCGACGCACTGCGTCCCGCAGCCGTTGGAGCAGCAGCGACGCGAGCCCTCGCAATGAGCATCCGTGCGACACTCATAGGCACAGATATTCGCATCCAGATTATCAGTGGGACCGGGTGGCACCAGATACGGACACTGTCCCGGCTTGCGCGGCAGACAGGCGGGCACTGGTGGGCAGTATTCACCTTCGCAGCTGACATCCACAATGCGACATTCCTTGCTGTCGCCGCAGGTGACACCGTCACAGGGATCCCGACACTGGCAGGCGGGACAACGTGTATTCGGATCGAGTGCAAATCCATATTCGCAACCCATGCGACAGGTGAGATCCAAACAGTCCAGTTCCTCGCGCAGCTGCTGGCAACTCTCGTCGCTCACATTGTAGCCCCTCGATTGGGGTATCTCAGTGCCAAAGCTATCGACGCACCAGCACTGCTCCACCTCCATCTCAACCAGATCGTCAGCGTCTGCAATGGGCCGCTTTGCTGCTGGCGCCACCTTCTTCAGATCCGTCTCGAATAGCTGGCCCAGACTCTGCTGTCGCTCGGCGCCCATGTCAATCACCTTGGCACTGCGTCCCATTGACATCGCTGGCGCCACTTGAACCCTGAGCGCACTATCATCCACCCGGTAGAGTTTCAAGCGTTCCGCATTGCGTTTGCTGCGCTTGCTGGACACGCTCTGTGCCGTGCTCAATAGCATCCTCATGCGGCGTATGGTGTTCTCCTCGAGGATCTGTCGCTGTTCCGCTCGCGTCACGCGAATCTTGCGCAGCTGACACTGTCGTCCGGCATAGTCACCCTCATCGGTGCAGCGAGGCGCTGGCATTGCCAACTGCATGCCCGCTTCGGTGCCCTCCATGCGCTCCGAGAAATCACGCAGATATTCACACACTGCACAAGGAATAAAGAAATGGGAAATTGTAATCGATTTGTTGAGGATTACTATGGCATTATTCCATATCCATTGAACACTTACTGGTTTGCTGGCGTGTCGTCTGCTGATCTTCGCCAGCTGTGCTCTGGTCCGGCACCGGGCAGCAGACGCTCTCCGTTTCACGATGCAGTTTGGTGCACTTGTATTGTTCGGGGCACATGATGTGATTGCTCATGGATCGGCCCTGCTTGGACTCTGCCTCGGGCTCAAAGAAGGCGGTGGGCTGGAAACTTCTCGCCTGACGCTCCTCAAAGCAATACATAACCTCGCCGCTGACGGTGTCCGAGAGTGGTGTGCCAACGTCACAGGGATTGGAGTAGGCCAGATCTGGCTTACAGACGGGCCAAGAGGCGCACAGCGAGGAACCAGACTCACACAACGGATCGGTGGCCACCTCACAGTGTGAGCCAAGGGCACACTTGAAACCCTCACAGGGTTCCGAGCATTCGCAGGTGGGACAGCCATTGTGATCGTTCTAGAAGGGGAATCGGATCGAATCAGAGGAATATCAATTAAAATCTGTCTAAAATATTGGCTTAAGTTTGGTAGTAAATTTAGTTTAGTTTTAGTGGCAACTTTATGGAATTATAGGTTTAATTTGGGCCAACTTATAATCTATTTTTAAGCCTGCTTTTGGACTCACCTTGAATCCATATTCACAGACGGCAGCACAGATATTTGTGTCGCACTGTTCCATCTGGAAGCTGCGGGCATAGGAGCGACTGATCATGTTCTCCCAACCATCGCAGTTCACACTGTTGGCGGCGCCCATGGACTCCTTGATCTTGTGGCCGGTGCGAGGATCGACACACCAGCAGACGAGCCCATTCCGTGAGCATTGCCTGGGCGAGTACTGGCCACCAGGTCCATTGCAATCGGGCACATAGCCGCGACCCTCGCGCTCATTGATGGCCAGTATGTCGGAGAGGGCTTTGGCCTGATGGCATCCAGTCACATTGGTTGCCTGCTGACAGTTGAACTGGCAACCCTTGGTGAAGCAGCATTTCTCCATGTTGGCACACTCGAGATCATGACTGCAGGGCGATCCACACATGTAACCAGTGCTCTTAGTGAAATGCGATTGTTCCGGTGCCGGGCAGACTCCCGGTTTGTGGAAGGTCAAGGCGCTGGGACAGCAGACGCCATAATCATTGCCCGACTCAACCATGCACTGATACAACGGCGGACACTGCGGCTTGCCCGAATCCTGTCCACACAAAAAAGGTCGAACACTATCCTCGATGGCCAGCGGCAGTCCGGCTGGACAGTAATTGGCCAGGGAACGCGCCTTTTTACAGGTGGGCAACGGTGGACATGGCTCCGATTTGCATTGCACCTCCTGCAGCTGGCAGGTTTGTCCGTTGGGACAGTCGAAACCATCGCACGGATCCCGGCAGCGACACACCGTGCAACCGGTCTGCGCATCCCTTGCAAATCCCGAGGGGCAGAACATGCGACAAGCGGAGGCAGCACAATGCGCCGGCTCCTGGCACTGCACTTGGGTGCGATTCGTATTCCTAGTGCCGGGCAACTCCACGCCATACTCATCGATGCACCAGCAATCCTGGCCAGCTCGTTCATTGCTGCACTGAATTCGCTCAAATTCGCCAGTCTTCCTGCAACGCGGTATCCGCACAGATCCTGCGGCTGCCCCAGATCCAGCTGCCTTGGCTCGACGCGACTCTGCGCGTCTCAGATGCTGGCAGGCAGTTAAATTGGCTATATAATTGGGGGAAAATGTGAATTATTGTTTTGTTTTTTTCTTTTTTTTCATAATTAGCCAAAAGCTTAACTTTCATCTGTGACCCTAAGACTAATTCTTAGTTTTTAGTGCTGCCTAATTATATGAAATCACTAATGAGAAAGTTAAGCAAATAAAAGTAGAAATCGAAGAAGTTTTAAATACAAAGCAAATTTCTAAAATGTTCTTCAAAACTAAGAGTGTTTTTAACAAATTTTCTATCAGACTTGGCTGTCAGCAAAACAAAGAAAAATAAACAAGAAAAACTATTATTGGCAGTAATACATCCAAATGGTCAACTAGGTCACATCTGAGTTTAGTTATTAATTAATTCAATGATTGAATACAAATATGACTCAGCATTTTGAATTTCACTTGAAAGTTTCGCTCCACTTGAAATAGATAGGAAATAACGAGTATTTTACCAGAGTCATCTAAGTTTTGATATACATTTTGTTTGATATATATATTTGCATAATAACCGACATATTCTTTCGACTGATGCTCGTCATTTTTTTATCATTTTTGGTTTGGCTAACTTGGTAAACAAAAAATTGTTTCATGCAGTTCCAAAATATCTGCAAACTGAGCAATCTTTCAGATGCGGATGCTTGTTGGTCAAACGTGAGTAGCTGGTTTATTTGAACACACTTGACAAATTGGAGAAAAAATGTGTAAACTTTAGGCTAACAAGGATGAAGACGAGGTACTTAGCTTTGGTTTGGCATACTTTCGTGTTATTCAACTGCAGTTAACACAACACAGCATATGAAAAAAAACCCAACAGCGACATCAGTTTCACTTTTCGCAAACGTGACGCGTTCATATTGACAGATACAACAACAGTAACAGCAACATCTATGAGCAACAACAAATTGAAATTAAAAATTGTGTATAAATGGCAGCAGCTGGCAGCGTCAATTGGTTGTTTAAATTGTTGCCCGTTGTTGTCGTTGTTGTCGTTGCTGGTTGTCTCAGGGCCAACATTGAGCGCTTTGTATGCGCATGGCGCGATCGCATACGGGTTTGTCTCTTGGCCAAAGCGGCGTATGCTCAATTTGCTGAAATGGTCCGAGCCATTAACGCCGCTGAAGCCATTTTTTCATTTGTGATTTGTATTATTTTTGTCGTTCATAAGGCACACTCATTGTGTCTATTGCCTGGCCAATGCTTGTGTAATGGAGTCATCATACTCTGCCCACCCACCGACCCCCCTTTCCTGCACGCAACGCTGCCTTTAAGGGGCTTTCGCAAGCATCGACGATGCGCTCAGTGAGTTTTGGTTCTTCGTTGTCCACTTGCCACTTTCGATGCAATCCAATTCATTCGCCATGCAGTCTGCAATGCAACTGGAAATCTTCGACTGCCACTTGACTCAAATTACTTGTGTGACCAATAATTAGCCCTTATGTCATTTGTAATCAAATAGTAGCAAAGTCAATCAAAATACGATTTACTGCAATTCCCATCAAAAATAATCTAAGCAGCTTAGTTTAATGAGACTTTGTGGGACTTCGAGATGTTCGGCAGTGATTACAATTCCCACACTGATTTTAATGCCTCTTATACAAATGTGTAAATATAATTACCGTTAATGATTAAGCTCTACACCTCTCTACCATTCACATGTAGACACAATTCAAAATTTTTGCTCTCAGATTTTTCAAAACTTAACTGATTTCCAAAAGCAATGACTTTTTGAAGCATTGTTTTTTAAAAACAAAATTTCAGCATTTAAATACAAATTTCAATGAGTTCAACTAAATTAAAAATATACCAAAGAATGGATTATTTAAAAAACTCTTCAAGTTGAACTTGTGAAGAGTGTTCAAACCTTAAGCTAAATACATTTATTTAATTTTTTCGGCATCATAAAATATTGAAAGGGACAAAAAGTTAGCTAGCATTTTTGAATAATTCGTTGACAATTATTATAATTATTAAATCACTTATTTCTTTTTTTTATTTAATAACCATCAGTTAGGCATTATAAAATATTGATGGAGTCAAAAGTTAAACAAGTATATTTTAAAAAATTCCTTGACAATTATCAATAGTGTTCCTAAAATGTTACTTTCTATAGAAAGTATACATTATATTTTCACATCGGTATATAAATAACACATTCCTTCAGGCAATAAAGTTCACTTTATACTAAATACCACAAGCTCTTCTTATCATCTTTATGTTTTTCTGCATACGCGCTTCTCTTCTGCTTTAGCAATATATCATCGCCTTATCTTACAAGGAGATATTATATTATTGTCATATACAAACATCCGGCTTGCATTTTCACTGCTATGTTAATTGCTGTGTTTTAACCATGCCTTTTTTTTTGCTTGCAAGTTTGGCTTTTTGAGCTCTTTTCACCAGAAATTAAATGAAAGTTTTATGTGTGTGGTTTTTTGGTTTTTTTTTTTTTTTTTTGGCAGCGCCTCGCATTCATCAGCTGGCCACAAAAGCAACAATTTGGATTAGGTATTTCGTATCGAATGTCTGTCGCTATTCCAATTTCGCTTCATGAATGAAAACAAAAACCAATTAAATGAAAATAATAATAATAACAACAGAAACAGCAACAGCAACAAAAGCCACATGAGAAACTTGATTTATTCTACCTACCTGGTGGTAGAGCGAAATCAAGTTTGTCGCTTAAGTCTTTCGGTCGAAGCGTAACGAAAACGAAAACAAAACCCGCATAGAAGAATAACAACAACAACAACAGCAGCAACAACAAGAATTGGCTCCCCGGGGGCAAACGTGTTGTTAACTATGGGGAGCAGAGGCAAACCTGACCGACTGACACACTGTTTGCGGCACACAGTCATAGTTGCCTTTTATTTCTATATTTTGTTTTTTGCTGCTTCTGCTTCGGCGGCTGCTGCTGCTGCTTTTGCTTCTGCTAGTAACGGTTTTTCGGGCCGTCTATTTCAAGTTCGTGCACCGTGGAGTCTTTTGGGGCGGGCTAAGCGTTTTTTAATGATTGCGTGCTATATTTAGCGTCAGAGTTCTACAACGAATTTCCACATGCTAATTGCCAGCATGCATTTTGCAATTGCCATTGCAATTTCCATTTAACGAGTTGCGAGCGGGCAAGAGGTAAGCCTCTAACTTGCTCCACATACAACTAAGCGGTTCATTGACTTGCCAAAAAAAAAAAAAAAAAAAAAAACAAACTAAAAGACAAACAAGAAAAAACTACAGCAACAAGAAGAAGTCATTGACTCTGCCGCGTGTGCTACATAAAAAGGGTCCCATCCTGCTGGGCGCGCCCCTTTTGAAGTTTTACTCAGTGTTGCCAACTTTTTGAGTTTAAAATGGAGATAAAGGTAAAAAAGGCAATTTTCATGTCGAAAAAGTTTGAAACCCAGGTAACTCAGTTTAAAAACAAAGATACATTTTTGATGAGGCTAGAAAACAAGTGCATGATATTTCGCTGCCCTATATACATATATACTTATTTATTCAAAGAAAGAGATACGACTTAAAGAAGGCAGTTTTCATTTTGAAAAGGCTAACAAACTTTAAAAAAATAATTTGTTCAAAAATGCTTGAAAACAAGGGCATGATAAAGATAAAGCTAAAATAAGTCAGAGTTTAATAAAAAGTTTAAAAACTATACCCTAAACAGATATATATTTATTGAAAATAATAATTTGCAAAATTATTACTGTGTATCATTATAGCTATCATAATTTGAAATTTTTTGTACACTCAATTAAATCAAAATTAGCTATTTTCCAAACCTCCCAAGTTATTAGGCAGTAATTTCGTTTTTTATTTTGGAAAAAATGTGCTAATAAAGTTACCTAGTTCTAGATGATTATTACTGGCACTCAATTAGTTAAATTGTATCTACATTATAGTCATAATTTAGCTATTTGAAAAATTCTCTAGCAAAATTTGAAAGCTTGAAAAAAACAAAACTCTTTTTTTAATTCAGAACCCGCAAAGACTTTTTTTTTTAATTTTTCCCATCACTTAACTTATAAAAAATCAATTTTTGAGTGTAAAAAAGTTGAATATAAAATGTTGATTCTACATACCATTTGTGCGCTTTGCCTCAGCAGCTTGCAACAAGAGCAGCGAGAGCAGCAACAGCAGCAGCCAGCTTGAAAACAATTTCAGCCAGCGTTGTTCACAATTATGCGGCATGATGTTGATTCGCAGGCATTCAAAAAGTTGCCAAAAATGATTTCCTGTTTTTTTTTTTTTTTTTTTGTATAGCAGCAGCAGCTGCAAAAGAAGAGAGTTCATATTAAGTACCATATATGTATGTTAATGTGTGTGTGTGTGTGTGTATGTGAGTAATGTTTTGTGGCCAGCGTCGATGGTTTGTCACGTTTGACGTCACACGCTCGGGCGCTGCGCTTATGAGACCGAAACCGGGCACATGAGAAACTCAAAAAAATTCAAATTCAAATATGCATACAAAATACTTTCACTAGTCTATGCTTATATATTTTATTTTATTTTTTTTTGTGTTTGTTTGCGGCCAAAGAATTCAACCCAAAACATGTGTAACATCGAAAGAAAAAAAACATAAAAATAAATTTGGCTGCATAATATAGATGCTCTTTGATTGCGCAATAGGCGGAAGAGTTCAGTCGGAGAGCAAGACCGAAAGAGAGAGAGAGAGACAGAGAGAGAGGTTACAAGTACAACTGGGGTCACGGTGCTGCCGCCATTGTCTGCACTTTTTCGGCGCTTCCCATAGCATTTAGCAGCTGTTGTTGTTGTTGTTTTAGTGCTGCTGCTGCTGCTGCCGCTGCCGCTGCTACCATTGGAGGCGAGTGATTAATCTGCGCTTTCACTTTGGCATGCGGCAAGCAGCAAGACAACACCAACTTCAATTGCCGCAAGCGTATACAATTTTTGCGCCAGCACTGTTCGAAAAATTCACTTTTTTTTTTCGTACGTTTTCCGGTCCATTGAAAACGACGTCGTCGCCCAGCTTTAATCACACACAGCGGCTGCTCAATCTTCTGGCATTTTCTCTAATTACGTTGGCCACGCAGCTGCTGGCCAACAATGGCAACAGCTGATCGGCTAATAAAATCCAAAGCACGCCAAGTGCTAGAAATGATAAGTTTGTTGCCTAAGTCTTTTGTTTGCTTTGCCGTGTTTTGTTTTTTTTTGGGTGAAAAGCGTTGCGGGCATAAAAATGTGGCAAACGATGTAGCAGCAACAACAACATATTTTTACAGTAAAAACTGTACATAAATTTTTTTTTTTGGCAGTTATTATTTCTTTAATTTTTTGTGGGTTGGTTTTTTGGGGTGGTCGTGCAAAAAGCATGTCAGCTAACTACCTACTCTTGGTTCGCCTGCTAAAACAAATTTCTCACAACTTTTGTGAATGAAAGCAGTCTCAGCTAACTTGAACTTGAAGGCAAAAATGTGATTTCTGTCGAGATTCGGAGATTTCACCATGACCAAAAAACAAGTCAAGCAAAAAAATCAAAACCTGGTTGTTTGTCATTGAAATGCAAGCAGGCGAGTTGAGTTAAGTGCTGGGTGGTTTGACCCTGTCACATTAGCTCCTATGATATGCCTGGCCCGGCTTAAAGCGTGTGACAGTTAGTAGAGTGTGAAGGTTTAACGATTGGTGAAATGGGGTCACATGTCAAAGTCATGTTATGCCTACTTACACACATGCATGCATTTCGCAGGCGTGGGCAAAAGAATCTCGAGTGCCCATTGACTAAATGTACTGACAGAAATGCCACTTTAGCTCATTGAGCTGTCCAAACTCTCTAGTTTACTTCCTAGGCTCCAAGCACAAGCAGTGTATTTTTAAGCTGTTCCACTTTCGGAGCCTATACAAAAGCTGACTCATATCTTGATTTTCGGCACTTTTCGTTTTGTAAAGCTTTTTTCAGCGCTGGTTTTTCTGCACAGTTTTCTGCTACAGTTATTATTGCGTGTGCACTCACTTGCGAAATGTTCCAAGCTCTGACTTGGCTTTTGATTTTTGTTGGTCTTGGTCTGCCTAACGGTGCTTAGTGCTGGTCTTTTTGCGCAGTTAAAGTCTTTTATTGTAGTTTTTTTTTTGTTTTGTATTTTGGGTACATCTGAAATTGCGCACATCGCTGTCTTGACTCCCTTTTTAACTGAAAAGTACTTAACGCTGCGCCCATTTACAGTATTTGTTTATTATTATTAGATTAGATCATAAGACCAAATGATGTGGGCTTATGATGTCAGCCACGAAAATATTTCATTCGTGCATATCGATAAGGAAGTTCGAAAAACTCGAACATGTTTCTCCAAATCGAAACTTTGGTTGAACACCTCAAAAACGCCTTTTGAAAAATTGAATGAATTGGAAGAAAAGTGAAATCTGCATATCAGTAATATAAATATGAGTTCATATATATTTCATGCTGGCTTCTGGTTGAAAAATAGATTTGTATTATAAATATAAGTCAGCAAACAATAAAAAATTTGAATTTGTGCAAATATGAACTTCGAAATCAAATTTGGTTTGGTAAACTTTAAATGTTAAGCTTAGCAACTATTTAAATGAAATCACTGCATTGAAGTATAAATGTAATTTAATGCTTAACATAAAAAAAATATATATTTTGTGCAAGCTTATATGGGAACTATACAATTTTAGGAAAAAATGTGTGAAGATAACCTTTGCAAGTTTCAAAATTTTCCAAACTTTCCACACATTATGTGCACCCCTCGTAATGTGCGCAAATATTTATCTCGAAATTCAAATGCGAATTTGTTAGTTTTTTTTTTTGTTTATTAATTTTTTTATTAAGCCCGGGGGGGAGGGGAGACTGTGTTATTAATATATGCACAACGCATCTTCATTCAGAACGCCAAAATGCCAATAGTTTACCTTGAGCTGTCAATTAGGAGATCATAGATGGAATATGTTGAACTTTACATTTGTCATGTTTATGTTTCACATAAATATAAAATCGCAGTTTCGGATTTCAATTTACGAGCTAAGAGTTAAGAGGAGACCATTGCTCAACAAACCTGTTTAATGTGGCCCAATCAGACGGAGTCTCCACTGGCAGCAGCTAATCCAATAAAAAGTGAAATTACGTCTAGTCAACAAATATATATATACCTATATATATATATATATATCCACAAGTCAAGCGCCCGTACCGATTTTAGTGCTTTAATCCAAGTGCACGGCTTGAACGTTGGGCTTTAAATTTGCAATTTTCACAATTTCACTGCAGACACAAACACTCAAACACACACACAAATTTGATTTTCACTTTGAATTTCTTCGTCGTCACTTAAAAAACTCTCTCGTAACGTATTTTTTTCCACTTTTTTTTTGCGGCTGCACAATTTGAAATTCGCGTGCGACTTCAACGACGATCGCTGTTCATTTGAGCTGTAGAAGGCGTAGCAGTGGTGCTGGTAGTGGAGTCGTCGTTGTGGTTGGCAGTGCTGTGGTTCGATCCAAACATGTTGCAAACGAGACGAATTTTGAGAAAAACCTTCAGCAACAACTTACTCATTTGAATATGTTTAATGCTGTTTGCTTTGGACAGTTTTTCGCTGTTTGGGAATTTTGTAGTCAGTGGAGCTTTGAGGTGCGTCCACATTCATTCATGCTCCAATTGCACGCACCACCGCACCGCTCTTTGGTTCTGTCCCTCGATTCATAGAGTTCAGTTAATGACATTACTCTACACAGAGAGAAGAGAGTGCTAGACTAGCCAGTCAGGAATTGAACTAAGACTTCAATTAATTAAGCTGAGCACTTTGCTTTTATTTTAAAAATTGCAAGTGTTTTTAATTGAATAATTGAGAGCACAAAAGTAAGACTATATTCATTATTTAAATTATATTCCAAATTTTCGAAAAATTTGTTCAAGAGAATGTTATTCAAACGATCGATTCGAAAACGTATTGATAATTTTATAATAATATTTAATAAATCTATGACGTGTTTCAAGAATTTGCGAGCAAATTTTTAGTAAATCTTACTCATGTCAAGTATGATTTCCTAGTTGTGTCATTCAAACTTACCCGTTGTACAATATTTTTTCGCTTAGTGCATTGGCCCCACTTCATCTAGTGCGTGACAGCCTTCGCTGGCCAGAATTAGCTTGGCTACGGGGTAAAACCGATTTATGTCGATTTACCCGATGGCCCCTGTAGACCCCTTGGCACGTCTTGAGTCCGCTGAGTCAGTGCAACGTCAGTTGTAGTTACGGATATCGCCTCGTGGTCTTAGCCAAGGGCAATGATTTATCACCGAACGTTGATTTTTGTCAAATTATTTTGTTGTTGTTGATGCCATGTCAAAACAGTTTTTGTTTTGTGCTTAAATTGCAGCTTCCGCTTTGCATGGGTTTCGCACGCTTTTGTCATAATTCAATGACTTTCTTTCTTAATTTCATTAATAAAAGCGAGTTGCCCCAAACCGCACCTCCTCTGAAACGGGCTTCATTAAATTAAGTGCAGCGCGCGAAGTTCCGTCTCACGAAAAAGATACGCAGAAATATTGCGGCCAAAAAGATACAAAAAGCGGGAGAAGAAAGAGCCGCTTTGATGATACTGTACGCAATTTTTGGGCGGTCTTTACATAATGTAGAGTATAACTGTAAAGTTAACCCGGGGCATATTTGCAATGGCAGACGTTTAGCGACAGCACTCTTTGCTCATAAAATTAAATCATAGATTAGATGATATTTGCAAATTTCAATCATTAAGCCATTAATCTTGCAGCTAAGCCTTGACAAAAGTAAATATTTGTTTATGTAAAACACTTTTCAGCAAATACATTATACCGTTTTTCACATAGTTGCAGTGTATAAAAAATCTGGTCAGTTTTCATAAAGTCGTAAAGTATTTGGAGCCTTGAATTTTATAATTATTTTCCAAAGATCGCATAAGTTACTGAAGAGCTGACAGTGATAATGCTTTTGACCCCTGAATTTATTGTGTTCAATAATACAAAAATAATATTAACTTCCTTTAAAAATTGGGTATTCTCAGTTAGCTCACCTATACAGAATATATATCTTAACTTTAATTTTAAGTTTGTATTTTTTAAAAATTGTCGACTATTTTCATCAAATAAATAAATAATCATGCGAATCGAGCGATTTATGTTTACACCGTTCATCAATAATACAATTACATTCACACTTTTGTTGAATACATATATTGTTCCGATTCGACATCGACTTCAATATAACCTTAATCCTAAAGCTACTAGTTTCCATAAAGCCAAAAAGTGAGCAGACTAATTACATCGATTTCTAATACTGATCAAGTGACACATACAAATAATTTGTGTGGTGTCGGAGATGTTTCCCCATTGCATTACCCATTTTCTCTTTGCCAACCAAAAATCAATAAATTGATGGAATTTGTTGTAAGCATTGTGTACCATTTCCACTCAAGTCTTGGTAAACTCTTCGAACAACTTCAGCTTCCGAAGCACATCAGTTCGAGATCATCTCAACAATTTGGCCTTTTTTGTTTCGGCATCGGATCACAGTCAGCGCGTCATACTTGCGCCTCTTTAAGGCCACGCCTTCAGCTTAGCGGCCGTAGTGAAAGTGAAAGTTCTGTGAGACCGTCTTTAATGACAGCTACACAGCTACGCTCAGGCATCGCTCCGATGTGACTCGAGTTGAGGCGAGTCGGTCAATATCAAAACGATGCTAACGAGTTGTCAAAAGAAACCCAATTTGCATATACATAATAATATACATAAAAGCCCTTCGTGTTACATCATTTTTTTTTCAGTGTTTTATTTGCTCACATATATATATATATATATATATATATAAATATATATTTATTAATGACTTTTATCTAAATTTATGTTGCTGTTCAATAATATTTAAAACAAACAAGACTCGATTTAAATTGTTCATTTATTTCCTTTACATTTCTCACTTATGTCTTGGGAGTGGGTGGTGGTGGCGGTAAGTGGGGAGTAGGTAGGAAGGGAGTGGGGCAGGGAGGTAGGGAGTCAATCAGTTGCCATTTTACAATTGGATTTCGAAAACGTATCGTGTGAGTTAGAAGAACTTTACAATTAGCTGTCAACATCTGAAGAGTTTTTAAGTTTTCTATTTAAATATATAATATTAAAAGTGGTTTGACAAGTGTCTTTTGATTCTGTTTCATTGCTGTTTCTAGTTACAAAGTGCATTCATTGTTTTTGTTTGTTGTTCTTGTTCTTGTTTGCTGTTCAAATTTGTTATCCAAGTGGAAACCTTACGCTTAGCTTCGAGTTTGAGTTGGTTTTCTTGTTCTAATCAATTGAAATTGTTTGTTAATTAAATTTGTTGCATTTCATAATCTAAATTACATAACTGATTTGTTTTGGGCGCGATTTCCTCTATATGTACTATACATATGTGTATATAGTCTGTATATTTTACGTATGTATATATATCTATATTTATATATATATATATATATATTGTTTTTTTTTTTGTATTTATATGGTATATATTTACAGACACATGTATTGGTTGCTGCCATTGTATTTGTTTTCGCTTTATTTTTTTTTTTTTTTATTAATTCTTGTTCGTTCTTTGCTCTTTGTTGTAAATATCTGCACAGAAACAAAATACTTCTTTTTTTTGTGTGTGGATTATTATCAATTATGAATGAACACAGTATTTGCAGAATATTCCACATCCATCATTTTTGTTCTTCTTGTTCTCAATTCTGTTCTAAACATCACCATTTGTTTGCTTTGTTTTTTTTTGTTAGTAATGAATTAAATGTCTTTTGTTGTTCCTAGCAAAATCGCAAAAAAAAGGAAAACATTATTAATTGGATAAATAAAGTCTAACAACACGCTTAAGCTATATATATATATATGTATATATATATATGTCTGTATGTATATAGAAAAAATGATTAGACATTGCTGCCGTTGCTAAAAATTAGTTTACATTTGCTGTATAAATAATAAATAAAACATTTACAACTATTTGCAACGCTACACGACCTATGAACTATATCAAATTGTATATATAACTCGTATATAAATATGTCCTTTTGCTAAAAATTATCGTTATTATTAATAATCTTTTCTTTTATAATTATAATTAATATTATTATTATTATTATTTGCATCGTTCTCTCTCATATCTCTCTTTTTAGGGTATTAAACTAATTGCATTAAAGTAGTAATAACTGCGGATTATCAACTTGCTAGCTGCTGGCCATTTGTTGTGTGGTGTGTGTGTTAAATAGATAAATAAAATCAGAGCAAATATGCTAGGGTTCTATTATCTATTGTTTACAATCACTATCTTTTTAATTATTATTATTATTATTGTGTGTGTAATGCGTGTGTGTGTGTGTGGTTATCATTATTATGTACAACTGTCTGGATGTTGGCTCTGCTTGCGTTTCGACTTTGGCTCCTTCGGATGCTGGTCGATCGACGGGCGACGGGGGTTGCCAAGCGTGACTAAAGCACTGGCCACAGCCAGTCCGGCTGACTGACCAGCAGGCGCTTGCGAAAGGCCACCTAAATACAGAAGAAACATCATTAATTTAATATATCTTCAATATAGTCACAGGTAACTTCACCGAAACCAAAATCTAAAAACAAGTTTTTATGTTATATCAAAATTTAAATCCTATTTTGCCAATTCTATCAGAAATCTTCGTAATTAGCAGACAATATTTTAAATTGCATGATATTTAAATGGTACATTAAGGAACTCTATATACGAAACTATTTAAAAACTCAAGAAAATGTTTCTCAAAATTAAGCAGTTAAAATTTCTGGTGTTTTCTAGTTAAGAGATATCATCACTGTATCACATTCATTACGCACCCGTGGGCAGCCGGACTAGAAGCGATAGCACTGCGGCTCGATTGCCATTGCAAGGCTCCAAAGCTATGGGACTGGGACACTCCTGGAACATATATATAAATAGATAAGAAACATTTCAACATTATTCCCACATTTCTTGCACTCACCTTCTTGCGTTTCTTGGACATGTTGCTGATGCCTTCCAGCGTCAGGCTCAGATCAATCATTTCACGCGCCTCGATGTCGACCAGAACCTAGAGAGTAATATGCAAGGATTAGCAATCGATTTAACTACATGCTTGGTGGCAGCACAGTACCTGTGAGAATGGTCTGCTCGCCATTTGCTCCATTTCGACAAACAAGCGCTGGCGACGTCGGAACATGTCGTATTTCTGTTTGATCTTCCACAGGACGGCGGCCATGAGAAGCAGCAGCAGGAAGCACGAGGAGAAGGTGATGAAGAACTGTTGCAGATTGAGTTTGGGATACTGCGAGAAGGCGATCTGTATCCAAATGGGCGGCTGAAAGTCGTGCACAAACACATAGAATGTGGTAAGGGAGCTATTGTCATCGGACTGGCCAAACTGGTATTCGGTTTTGGGGAAACGATGTCGGAACGTCGAACAATTGATGCCCACCAAAATGAGGCGTTCCGGCATCCCGGCACGCTTCACCGATATGTCCATTTTGGCCGGGACACTGCACGTGATCGTAAAATCGGCATCAATATCGGGTTTACCCGGCGAATTGCGAAAATTGATTTGCGTAAAATGACGGTCCTCCTTCTTGGACAGATTGAACGTGAACTGATAGTCGATGGTCAGTTCGTAGTAGCAGGAGCCACGCAACGGATCACCAATGTAATGATTCTGTGAGTCACACTTCTCGCAATGATCCCCGACAATGCCCTTGGTATTGCAATAGCATTTGCCCGTATCCGGATGACAATAGTCGCCCTGATTGTTGCACTCGCAACGCTGGCATTCGCCGCCATTGATCGCATTGCCCCAGTACCCAGTGCGGCATTTCTCGCAGTGTGCGCCAATTGTCAGATTGTTGCACGGCTGCTCGCAGTGCTGCTGATCATTGCAATAGGAATGACCGTTGCAATTGCAGCGCGGACACGACGTGAAGAACCAGTGCTTCAATGCACACTCGCTCTGATCGTACGGCGACAACGCGCCGCCAACAACACACTTGCCCAGGCCGGTGTTGGAGCCGTTGTCGCACCAGCCGCACGCCGGATCATCCAAGCACTGCTGACAGCTATTGTAGTAGCCACACTGGGCACTGGATAGGGCCGTTGTGCCACCAGCACTAATCGAATTCGCTGGCGCCGAACGGCACTTTGAAATGAATGTTGTCCACTCGCGACACTGGCCATAGGGGAAGCTAGCCGTATATGCATTGCGATCGACGCAACGCTGCTCATTCTGACACCAGATGCACTCGTCCTCCGTGCAATTGTGACAGTTCGTCTGGGACGCACAGTTCGGACGACAGAGGCTGTCGTCGTGGCTGGTGCGATTGAAGGGCGCACCCGAGGCGGAGATGTGGCTGCGACAGCGATTCGGTTCGACATCCCATTTGCAGTGCGGATTCGACATGCACGCCTGGCAGCTGTGCTGCTGCTCGCATATGGATTGCACAAGGTAATCTTCGGCTGCGGGACAACTCTCCAGTCGCTTGGCATTCAGCGGTGGCGTCACTGTTATTGGCGGCTGTGGATGTCCGCCCTGTTGCGTTGCTGTTGAGGAGTCGGCATAGAAGATGGATGCCACCGAGGTGGTCTCACGGCAACGTTCCTTGCTGCACACCCCATTGCCACAGTAGGTGCAACCAAAGGCGGTCGAGACACACGAATGGCAATTGTTTAGCTCCTGGCAGCGCTGCACATGATGCAGATGCTCCGATGTCATTGTGATGCGACTCTTTGATGGACACGCAACATAATCGTATTGTTCCCGTCCGTAAATCGCCGAGCGTTGCACACGCATTATGTTGATGCAGCGCATCAGTTGCACATCCCAAATGCACTTGACACCCGGCCGGGCACTCGTGCACTTCTCCTGCTTGGTATAGTAGCTACACTGTCCGGCATCGTAGCGCAGCATATCGTTCAGCAGCTGGCCATTGAAGCCACCATAAATGTACAGCGCATCCTCAAACACGACAGAGCTGTGGCCGAAACGTGCCAGATCCGCCTGCAGGTGAGCGGGCATCTGGTGCATGTGCCACGAATCACAATAGACATCGTAGATGAGCAGATCCTGACTGTAGCACTTGGCCCCGTAGCTTTGAGCCGTATCATTATGGGTATTGCCGCCAAAGACCATCATCAGGCCAGGATTGACAAAGTTAGCCGTGTGCAGGAGCCGTGCGCTTGGTGCCGACGACAACAGTGTCCAGATGCGTGTCGCCGGCTCGTAGGCAAAGAGACGTGAGCTCAACACCTGACTGGGATCGCTCTCCGAGACGATGCCACCGTAGACGTACAGCTTCTCCGTGAGCAGATCGTAGGCGGCACTGTGTCCGTAGCCACCCTTGACCACATAGCCGTAGGTCTGCACAATTCTCCACTCGCGTGTGCCAAAGTTAAACTCTTGCACCGTGTTGAGGTAGCCGTATTGTGGCGAATGTCCAAATATCACCACCATATACTGATAGTTGTTCTTGTCCCCAAATCCGGGCACCAATGTCGCCGTATGCCCCGCCACATGCAACGGACCGCACATCGCATGGTGTGTGCTATTACACGGATCCGTCTTTACGGTTATATTCTCCCAGGTCTTGGCGGACACATCAAAGGCCCACAGCTCATTGGTGATGCCCTTCGATTTGATGACGCCGCCATACATGAATATCTTATCACCATACATGACGGTGGAGGCGCCATAGCGTTTGTCGGGCGTGGCGCTGCCATCCTCCGGATGCATTGTTTCCCACACATTGCCATTGAAGTCATAGGTGCTCATAAGCTCGCCACGCCCATACGCCTCGCCGCCAATGATGTGCAGGGTGTCGCGCCAAACGGCGGCGCCATGTGAAGCACTGCCCGATGGCGCCACCGAATGCTTCGGATGCACCGTACTCCACACGCCGTGTGCCCGCACCTGACCACAATCGTCGCCGCCAAAACCCTCGTTGCATTCACAGCTAAACAAGATTACAGAATGTCAATGTTGATAAATAAATGGCATTTCTCTCTCTCTCTCTCTATATATATATATATATATATATATATATATATATATATATATATGTATATATATATGTATTAAGACTTACCGCTCCTGTGCACTCTTACAAATGCCATGACCTCGCGACTCTGTGCAGTTATTGGGACAGGCGGCCACATTACACGCCTCTCCTCGGTACATCGGATCGCAGAGGCAGTCGCCATCGTTGCACGTGCCATGACCAGAGCACTCCACATCTGTGAATTGTGCAAATCCATTGGATTTCAACTTCAATTAGAAACTTAGCAATCAATTTATAAAATTTTATTAGTTCTAATAGGTTTATTACCACCTCCCTTGGCTTCTTACGCTCGTTATAAAATAAATAAAGCGAATGTTAATTGCTACAAAATGAAAATACTATTATATATACAGATTAGAGCACAATTTACGTGTAATAAACTAAAAACTTTTTCTTACAATAAAATATGAACTCGACAAAAAGAAAAAAAGAAAACAATTAGCGGAACCTAATTATTATTGTTAGGAAAGTACACATTTTTGAACACGCTTATTTATTTCTCATTTCTCATACACATTATTTGTTTGAGGTTCTCTCGTAAACAGAGACATGAGTGTTTCTTATCTTGAGTAGTCTGAAAGAGGCTCAATAAGCTCTATCGCTGGCAATACTATAAAAACTACTTGTGAATCACTTTGGAAATATTAACTCGTTTCTCGAATGAACGAAATGCATGAATAGAATGTAAATAAAATATTATAAGATAATATTATAGTATATGCACATCTATATAACATTAGCGTAGTAAATGGTGTACAAATATAGGAAAATATTTAAATATTTATAGATTAGCTAACAATTTTCATTAACTTAATAATCTATAATATAAGAAATACTCATAGCTTATAGTTAGTTTTGAGATCTATAGTTTTTTTTATGGAGTACCACAATTCGTTGCCGATTAATAAGGATAATTGCTAATATAAAAGATACTCCTGGTTATATGAGCAAATTATAGTTCTTAGATCTATATTCTAACCTAAGGATATATGCCAATAAAGAGCTCGTAAGGAAATTCCAAGAACAATATTGCCAAGCTATACTCTAGTCCTGTTTAAATGTCTGCTATAATTTTTTGTGGCAGTTAAAAGAGTCTCTGCCCAGTCAAACTTATTCGTGTTGATATTGATGCAGTTGCAATTCACTCTTACCATCGCTATCCGTTGGACAGCCGTTCATTTTGTATGTGAGATTGAAGCCGGACATGTTGTAGGCATCATCGCTAAAGAAATGTAGCAGCGCAGTGCCCGATCTGGCGATGACCTGCGGCACGCGTCGTATCGAAAAGTTGCCCCTGTACATGAGGCCACTGCAACGACGAAGACGAAGACAAAGACGAAATGATTAGCAAATAGATGTGATTTGTGGTAATTGCAGTGCACTCACCTGAAGACCGCGAGTAGCGGTGAATCGACGCTGTCACCATCGTATATATACAAATGATCCCAGCCGCATTCGGTGGCAAATTCGCGCAGATGGATGCGTATGTTGGCGGCGCGCGACGGATTCACACTGTGCCGGCGACCCCAGTGCGGATGATGGGCATCGATTAACCAGCTGCACTTTACGCTCACCGAATAGTTGCCCCAGCCATCGTGTATCGTGCCCATGGGATGGTACATCCTAGATGGGAATAAAAAAACAAAGACATAAACAGATTGAAGAATGAAGAGATGCAAAATGTGCTGTTATAAATTGAATTTTTGTGGACTTTTTGAAGTGGCATCACTTGGCTTCAATTCAGGCTCACAATTACATATGTAAATTGTGGCCAGATGCGCGTATTGCAGCTGCCAAGATAATTGAATTTGCCAAGCTTCATTCAATTGATGCACACACTCACAAACACAATGGGTATGTGTACAAGTGCAGGGGAATAGTGGGGAATGTGCATCAGTGCCAGCTGAAGCACCGCAAATGCCACAACGTCATTCCACTTTCAACTCATTGCCACAAGCAATCCGCCTTTGTTATTGTTATTATTATTATAATAGCCAGTCCGTCATTTCGTTAGTCTGTCCGTCACTTCGTTTCACATCCGTTTAAAAATAACTGCTTTCTTTTCATTTGCCCCCCCCAACCACTTGGCCACAACACTTGGCCCCAAACTAAGATATTGATGATATACAACCACTACGACTACGACTACTACTACAAGTTGTTGTTTATTTATAAACTTGAAAAACAATTGACTGCCATTGGCCCCCAGACGCTAAAACGCAAACGCAACTAAATACTACACACATAGAGTAAACATATAGAAAGATGTTGGTTTTCCAGAAAAACCTTGCCAGTCGACCACCCCCCTCAGCTGCTCACCTTACAAGTGCTCTTTGAACTGTAAGCAAACACCCAGCCTGATGAAACCAAATATAAGCACATATCAGATTGCAAAAACAGTCAAAGCTCGAATTTAAACTGACAAATAATAATTTGAAATTTTGAAAAATGTACAAATTGAATATGAAACTTTTTGTTGTTCATTCATTAAAACTCTTTTTCCAACACTTATGTGAAAAAAAGCTTTTGAGTTTGTGGAAACTTTTCTCCTCTCTTTGTGTGGAAAATGTTTTCAAGTTTGCTTGGCCTATTTGTTTGAAGAGTTCGATCGTTATTAGACTCATTTTGACAGCTCTAAATAAAAAGTTAATAATGGAATTAAGAACTTTAGAAAATCCAGCCGCAATTTGAACTGGTCAGCAACTATTTTCTAAAAATGCACAGAGCATCAGTCAAACTTTTATAAATAGCAAAAGTTTTAGACAATCCACAAACGAATAGAGGAAAAAATGTCGGATGAGATTAAATGAAAGAAACTTGAAGCGTATGCAAACTAAGCTTAAGGAATATATTTTATATAACAAAGTATGCATGAATCAAGGTCAGAATAGTTTAAAATGTAAATGACAGCATATGATGTAAACCTAAGCCGTAACAGGCACTTATACATTTGGCATACATATATGTACACATACATACATATATGTACATACATATGTTTTATAAAACACTTGCTCCAACTATATCTATGATGATCTTAAGCTGCTCGCTTTCACATTTTGTACACATTTTATCTAAGTGCAATAAAAAAAAAGTACGATAAACATATCTTAAGCTAAAAGAGTCTCGACAGAAACAGAAAGGAAAGCTAATAATAATGGCAAAAACAAATAAAAGTCGACGCCCAAAGATAAATTTCATATTGTATACGCTTATAATTCGCAACTGATACAGGTGCTGATTGTATGAAGTTGTTAAAGGAATTAATCACATTTTAGAGCTTGTTTGGTTAAGTTTCGTTTAGTTTAGTTTACTGGTTCTTTTTTGTTTATCAGCTGTTATCTTTTAATAAAAAAGTTGTGCTATCTAGTACTCTCAACATGTAAGTAAATCAATTCATGATCTTTTATTCGCAACGCTTTCTTATTATTTATTATTTGGCCAAGATCATCCTCATATGGGAAAACCAGTTTGTAGTTATTGGTGAATGGGAATCATTTCAGATGTTCTCTCTTAAAATGGCGAATTATGGGTATTAAATATGGGACAGGTGCAGTTGACGAGTTAACTGTGCTGGCCAAAGCGAAAATCGTGATAAGCGAACGCTTTTTGCTATTGCTGATAAGCTGGCCAAAGTGGGTCTACACCATATCAACTGTAAATCATCAAACTACACATATATATATAGTAGAAATATGTATGACTATATATAGCAGCTCTCTCCCTCTCTCTCTCTCTCTCTCGCGCTGCCTCTCTCGCACGCATATCTTAAGAATGGCAATCGGTCAATGGAGACAAGAAAGAAAAAGCAATGCCAGCTGCTTTCAAACTACCAACGTGCAAACTGGCGCTGACTTGTGACGGTGCCAGTTGCCACAAAAACTCAATAAGAGCGTTATAGAGTGCTCGACGTTTGCAATACTCTGCTTACAATTTAATAACAACCAAAAGGCGGCTTGACTTGATCACAATAGAAATATATATATAGACAACGTAATTAAATAAAACCAATAAACTTAATTCTGTTGCAGAATTAAGATTTACCTTAAATTATTTTCTGGAATTTATATAAGTTATATAAAAAACAAAAACTCTTATTCATAAAATCAATTTGGGAATTTTCATACCTTCAGGTTTTAATAAATGTGAGCAGACAATTCGAAAATTATTCGCCTAAGCCGATGTATTCTAGTTTATCACCGATAAATGTATACTCTTTTTCCACTTTGCTGCACAATTAAGACTTGAAAACTAGATTTTTTTCAAATTATTTATTTATTTCAAAAGCAAAACCAAAACTCTTCTTCATAAAATCAGTTTGTTCTTAAAGAAATTTGAATAGAATAAATCGGAAACTTAAATAGCGACCCGAACCGAAGCGAGCTAGTTTTCTAACGACAAATTTGCACTCTTTGTTTTATTTTGCTCATTTCGAGCACAGAGCTTCAAGGCAGTCAGCCAAACAAGCAGTTGTTGGTTGGGTGGGCAAGTGCGGGCGGTAGGCGTGAGCGTAACGGTTTTGCGAGCTAAATACATTACTGTCAAGATAGTGAATGCCCTTATCGAGTGCGCGCTGAGCAAATACCCGTTATTAAGAAACATAAACAATGACGACTTATGAGCTTTATGATGAACGTTTTCGCTAGCAAAAACTTCTGATTAGACTAAACGTTGACTTGTCAAGAACTACAGTTTGTCGACAGAGAACGACGACGGTGAGGGGGGAGGGGATGGAGGGGCAAGTTCAAAGCCAAGTCAGGTAATTAAATCATGCACTCTGATTGGAAATGCAATGAGAAATGAGAGAGAAGAGGAGAGGAGAGTCGCATCAGAAACGGGAGTGAGCGTGTAGAAAGCAAGCTGAAAGAACGGAATGAATGGAAAGGTGAAAGAAGACAACAACAAAGTTAAGCAAAGTGAAGAAAAGAAACGAGAACTGAAACTGGAACCTGTCTAACGAGAATGGGCAGCAGCTCAAACTAAACCGTTGCTTGACACAAATCGGACAGAGGAAAAAGAGTGCAAAGCTTATTGAATAATACAGTGGAAGCTCCAAAAAAAAAAGAAAAAAATATAAAACGTTAATACGATTATAATTCGTGCATAATACCCATTTCTATAAGCCATTTTCCCAACAACAATAAAAAAGTACGATTGTTAAACGAGTATAATAATTTAATGATATTCACAGACGACTTTTCATAATTATGCAAATACAGTGAACGCTCGATAATTAGACACAGACGCTTGCTGGTGTATTGAAAAATAATATCCAACCAACGATGAATTATCAATTAATGAAATGTTAACAAAAATATATATTTTAATGTTTTATAGGCAAGAATTATGTTTTAAGAATTAAGCTTACAGGTATTGAATTCAAGTCCTAAAAGATTTCTATTGGCCAATCAATATTAATTATCGAGTGACCACTGTAAGACAACTAGACAACTAAGCGTTGATTTCTATGGTTATTGCCGTTGTTCTTGTTGTTGTTGAAACCATGAATCATGCTGCGAAAGCGATAACTAAATTGGCCTATTTGGCGAAGCAAGGAGAGACAGAGAGAGAGAGACAGTGGTGCGTAGGGGGAATGGGGTGAGAATAGGATTACTCATGTAAAGAAAACTTACCGCACTTTGCCGCCACAGAATTGGCAGGCAGGTCCTTGCCAGCCATCGGCACAGATGCACTGCCCGTCCAAGCACTGGCCATCGTTCTGGCAAGGATTTGTGGTGCAGTTGTAGGCACTGGCGCTATGCAACCCGCTGAAGCAGCCGTGAAACAATAGCAGTGACAGCAGCAGCAAACATTTTCGCCTATATTTGGCGTTAAATGTGGGCGTCGTTGTGCTGTCACAATGTTGATGTTGCTGCTGTTGTTGTTGTTGTTGCTGTTGCGTGTTTATATCGAGGACGCCAGTGTTGTTGATGTTGTTGTTGTTATCGTTGCGATTTGAGCAGAAAGTTGAGGAAGACGACGACGACGACGTTAGTTGTTGTCGTTGTTGTTGCTTTTGTTTGTTGGTTGTTGTGGACGAGAGCTTAGGCTTTTTCCCCGCATGCTCCACCAAGCACATTTTCTCACTTTTTATTGAATTTTCACACACACGAATGCGAATGCGAGTGCGACTTCTTCGATTTTCGCAGCGTTTGCATTGTGAACTGCGTATTGCACAAATTTGAAATGCTGCAGCCTGCAGCAACCTGAACGCACTACAAAAAACACATATGCAGCAGATGCAACGCCAAAATGAACACACACAAATTGCACAACCTGATGGCGTATAGATGAAAAGGAAAACACTGCTGTATTAACTACGCTGAGCAAAAACAATATATGTACTAGTCGATAGAGCTGCACGACAGTTATCGACGATTCATTCATCGTGGTGGTGGTCAATCGACATGCATGTTATTATTCTACGATACTTTCAACACTGGCACTATCGATTAACAATAACATGCATATCGATGTTAGTGCAAAATGAGGCTTATAAAAAAATTGATCGGCGTTACATTTCCATAATTAAAGGAGAGATGTTGGCAAACGATGTTATACATATAACGTGCTTATTGCTTTCCGTTCATTGTCTACTTTGCCTGCAAATATTAAATAAGTCAAATATCAGTTTCCCCAAAACTTAATATCGATAGCGTTGGCGCTTATTTAAAATCCATAACAAGTTCGCTGTTAACAGCTAAGGAGAAAAATGTAGAATGATCTGATTATGAATGGCGCACAGATAACATAACATAATATAAACATGAATCCAATGTTATCGAGCTAGTTGCGCTCCAATCAGGGAATTACATAGCTCATTTATGCAGTGCAGCCCTCGCATGCGTTATAAACGCAAGCGAAATAGCAAACAGAAATATAGGCTGGAATAGATTTTGTGTAATTAGTGTAATTTCTGACTGAATGTAGAATTTTTTACGATGCGTCCGCTTAATGTGCATGCAATGCCGATTATGAACGTGCTCTAAAACACCTGCAACCGCCTTTTAAACATATCATTAGAGAGTGAGTCCAAAAACATAAAATCAATACAATATACAACAAAATTGAACAAACAGTGTGTAAATTCCGTTAGTTTGACAGTTTCAGTTTTGCCAGCAGTGATAAGAAATGCGACGAAATGCAAAACGCATGCGCTCTCAACGGTTCACGAGCGACGACGAGCTCTCTTCCTAAATTCCTGTTGTAATGGGCTCAAAATAGTCGATGCTCGGAACTCGATGTGCACGGTTGCCTTGTGCGAATTGCTAACGGTATTTCGCGTCAGTGCCGCTGCATGTGCGTGTACTGTCTGTCTCTCTGTGTGTGTGTGTGTGCCATCAGTGAGTGAAAAAGATAGAATAAATACACACATTAGCTACAACGATTGCCCAAAAACACAAGAACAAATAAAGCCTAATTGCTGCAAAACGTTAATAATTATATTGACAAAAAGCTAACAGCACCAAAGGAGCAGCAACCGCAACAGTCGCAGTCGCCGTCGTCGTCGTCGATGCGCAGGTGAGTTGCGGAATTTTTGTTTCAATGCAGCAGCAGCAGCTCACTTGAGATTATTTTGGGTGGTGGATTTTCACCCGCAGCCCAGACGAATGTCTATACAGGCGATGTGGGAGCTTTGCTCTTATTGTTGTTTGAAATGAAGTTCGGGGTTTTTTTTTGTTGCTATTATTTCTATCAGCATTTGTTGATTTTAATATTAACATTTCAAGTGCAAAGCCTTTTCGTAGCATTGCAGAGCCAGTTCGATTAATACGCTTAACATTGACAATGAAAATCGATTGGCATTGGAATTCCGTTACCTTTTCGTATGCATAATCGAACAGTGGTTTATAAAAGGCCACGCACAACAACAACAGCAACAACAACAATATCAACAAAGGCAGATGCAATATTTATGCGTGAAATTCTTGCGCTGCTTGGGCGAAAAACATAATACACAAAAGCCGCATTTAATTTGCAGTCGACGGCAGCGGAGGCAGCTGCCACCCACTAATTTGCATACACACACACACACTCCTACACATGTAAATGCACACAAACATCTGCGTGTGTGTCAGTTGCGTCCGGCAATTTCTCACTTTGCATAATTTCAATGGCGCTGTGGACGCTGACGCTGGCGGAGATGGCGGCGGCGACGCCAACGCATGGCCGCCATTTCTTGCTCTTGATCTGCTTCATTCCGCGTTCTCCGTCTTTGAGAAATTATTTTTAAATTTTTGTTGCTGTTCTTGTTCTTGTTGCTGTTCTTGTTCTTGTTGCCGCTTGCCACTCAAGGTCGTTACATTTGTTTTATTCGATGTGTTTGCTGTTGTTGGCTTTTCTGTTTTCTTTTTTGTTGCATTATATAATTTGAGTTGCTTGGCGGTTTCTCTGCGGCAAGTTCAAGTGCAATGTGTGCCAAAGCCATACGCCCCTTCTCTGCAGACGCCACCCTATCACGCCCCGCCTACGAGGCATAGGTTAGCAGCCAATGTTTTGCCAATATTTTCGCCAATAGCAATAAGCCGCTTCACAACCTTGTTTTTTTCTAATTGTTGTTGTTTTCTCCATTGTTGTTCTTGTTGTTGTTTGGGGATACTTTGGTAATTTTTACATAAAGCGTCAATAACAACATCCAGTGAATAATGTAATGCAAATATGTTTTTTGTTGTTGTTTTTGTTGTTTAGTTCAGAAACGTGCCACACAAAGATTATGCTAAATCAATTGCAATTTACAATTGATCGACTGCGGTTTATCCTGTGAAAATTGAATGCTATTAATCCAGTACAGCCCAAAAAGGAAATAGGAAGTAATAACTATAAATTCTAATATAGCACATTGCAGACATAAAAACCACATTTCAATATATCTTATTATTTTTAAGTCATTACATTTCTTTTGAAACACAGATATTTTCAATACTTTTTTTTATTATAGAATTTTCGTTAACCCTATGAAACTGCCTTTACCATAAAAATTAAGTGAGTAACAAGCCAAGTTGATATAGCCATATCTGCCTGTCTGTTTATAAGTGGCTATAAGAAATCAGTCGAACGATGAGTTTTAAATTGTGTGATAGCGATACAACTGATAAAATATAACTATATCAATCAAACACTCATTTCACAAAAAACATAATACTCGTCATAATGTACTTATATTAAACTTGACTTTTAAAAACGTTCTTAATATTTGCTTGAGCTATAGATAAATTTAAGTTTCTACAAGCATAAAGTTTCAGTTATTCCATGGAATATTGATATTGAAATTACGCTTTGTTTTTAACGATATGCAAAGTTTAAAAATTGAATAGATTTGTTTGATGCAATTCGAGAAAATCGCGCTTTTGGCGTTTTTATAATGGTTAAAATTCTCATTTTCAAATCCTCGGAAAAATTATTCGATATATTCAATTTTAATCAGTGTTTTCTTTATCTTTATTAAGTCTACCTTCAAACTTGATAATTACTTTTTTCTTTTGATTGTCTTGATAAAAATCGCGAGTCGAGCGATTTTACCAAAGTTGAAATTCGCATTCCCTTAATCTTGGGACACACGTCAGCTAATCGATATTTAGTTGCAATAATTTCAGCAACTTATAATTTATTTAGTAGTACAAGGGCTCTCACGTAGCAACTGTCATTGAACTATTAACCACATAATGGTCGCAGTGATTGCAGGGTATATTAAAAATAAAAAAATCGGACACGCAACAGCGACAACAACAACAACAACAACAAATTCGTGTTTATTTGTGTGTGTTGTTAGCGCCACTGAGGCGCACAATTTTCCAGCTTGCGACAGGCGGAGCAAGGAATGGGGAGGAGAGTGGGGTGTGGGGTTTTTGGTTAAAGCAGAAACAAATTATAGGATACCACACCCCCGCACAAAGTCAATAAACAAGAGACAGCAAAAATAACAACAACAATGGGGCAGCTTTTGTATTTCCCAGCGCTCTCTTGTGCCGCAAAGCTCAGTTCACAACAACAACGACAACAACAACGACAACAACAACAGATTTAACCTACCCGACAAACACACACACACACACACACACACACACACACACACACACCAGAAACACAAAACCCACCCAACCCCAGCTCAAACCACGCAATTCAGCTGCGCCTCCCCCACCCCAATTTGTTGTTGTATTTCTTGTCAGAGTTGCTTTTCTTTGCTGTCATTTATTTCGTCATATATGCAAAACTTTATTGCTTTCTGTCTGTTTTGGACTTGGTTTTGAGGGGTTTTTATTGTTTCATTTTTCTTTTTCCCAGCTGAGCTATTTGGCTATTGGCCAGTTCAAGTGCATCAATTAAGTGCATGCAACGCATTATTTATTTATTTATTTTTTATGTTGTTTTTGATTGCTGTTTAAGTCAGATTTGTTTTTTTGTGCACTGGCGTGTGGATAATGAAAGTCCAAAGGCAACTTTCAACTTCAACGAAAAAGCTCAGAACAAGAATTACACAGAGTGAAAATATCAAGTACATATTGGCGTACTTGAAATATGAGCAAAAATATAATTTGCTAAAGTAGAGCATGAAGTCTTCCAATAATAACAATAAGTACTTGCTCAGCTTGAATCAGGACTTGAACAGATACAATTGGATTATGGTTAAAGTTACGATTTTACTTCTTAACATATAAAGTCACTTAACTTTATTTAGACCAGAATTGGACCATTGTGCTCGGATACTCCTTTGTTTTCGTGACACTGGCTAGTAGCAAGGTGATCAGAAGGGGGTTCCACCTGATGTGTTAATCAATTTAGCAATTTTCGTTTTTCATAGATTTGATAGATCGGCTGGAAAGTGGCTTTTCTTACAGGAAAGTGCCAGTATCTTTAAGATTTTCTTTGCTTGTTTTAAGATATTTGTTTTTAATCATTATGCGTTTGTTGTTCTTATATCAAGTATACTGTAATGTCAATATTATTCTCGCTGTGTAGAACACTGAAACAAGAACTAACTGTAAACGTACTTGAACCGATTGCAAATTAGCACTTGGGGCCATTTTCAACTACCACATTCGCCTGCGCTTTGAACTCCTTTGAGTCAGGCCAACAACAACCAGAGCCAAAGTTAAGATAATTATGCGCAAAGGCGAAACTTGAGACCTAAAAGTGAGGGAGAGAAAGGTAGAGTGCGAGTGGGACAGCGCAAGAGTTAGATCCTTGTCGAGGTGGCAGCAATCTTAGATTCTGTGGTAACATGCAACCATGTAACAAGAGCAACGCACACGAAATGGTCTACAAAATTTGAGTTGTTTTTGGTTTTGTTTTAGCCTTTTGCTTCTTTGGCCCATGCTATTATGTTATGCATGGCTGCATTTTCATTACGCAGAGCCTGAACTAGTTTAAAGCAGCTCAAGGACACGACTCAACATGCCTCGCTTGACATGTTGTCATCATCAACATCAACATCCACAGCAGCAACAACAACCACCACCATAATAACAACATCAACCAAATATCTAGCAACAATGGCGCCTTGTAATTAAAAATGAAAAATAAGTGCATGTCATGCGAACACTAACTACTCAAAGACCATAAAATTAAACGCAGCTACACGCCAATTAATATGCAGCAAGGAGTTTAAGATCGAAAGATTATACAGCAAATATGCATATATGTAATGAAAGTTATTTGACATGGGTAGTTTATTTTAAATATGTTCCTTTGTAAAGTGTTTTTTTTGTATCATTTAATATCGATATATTTTGAAACTCGTCGGAATTTGTCTTCAGGGAGAGACTCACAGCGTCCGTTTAGCCAGATCTGTAAGAAGTTAGTTTAAAGTTTGTTGCTGTTTAGAGAAATATTAAGTGTCTATATGCCTTTGATTGCCCATAAAGTATATCGCTTGATTTTTGAAGGTTACTATTTATTATATTTACTGCATTATATTTTGTACAGAGTGAGAGAGAGAGAGAGAGAGATACAGATAGAGTTTTATGACATGTAAGCACTTTAGCAAATAATAAAGACTTTTTAATTTAAAGCACTCATACAGCTATTTATAGTTTATTGATTAGAATTTTTGGGGGCGTATGTAAATTAAACAAGAAATTACGGAAGCCAATAAAAAACTGGCAAGCATACATCATGTGTATATATACCTTATGTAATGCCTTAATTGCTACGGGGTATAAACATGCGTTGCGCATAAAAATTCTTTGAGTGCCGAAAGGCGCCAACGAAGTCGCTCAACTTGCCTTTTTACAACAGCAGCAAACGATGAAAGTAAGCAGTTGGCATACGGCAACAAAACGAAAATAAGCAACAACAACAACAACAGCAGCAGCAGCAGCAACAAGAACTTAAGCGCCTTAAACGCTTGCTATGCGTACAATGGGGCGTATGCTTAATCCTATTTTGGCAGTTTAATTGCAACGAGCGAGCGAGTAACAAAAGGAGACAGCTAAAGCGAGAGGGAAAGTAAAACTAATGTTAAACTTTGCTTGCCTTTAATTTCAGAGATTAAGCGCTTGTGTGCATATGTGTGAGTGTCTATGTGTTTATGTGGTTTTGTGTGTGTGTATGTGTGTGTGTGTGTGTGTGGCAGCGTTTCCACGTAATTAACTTTTAATGGCAAGGCCATGGTTAAAAATGTTGCCTGCTTCTGAGCGTCGCGGCGCAAATTTTCTGTTGCCTACTTTTGAACGTCGACCAATATTTTAACTCAGCCAACTATTTTTGGGTCTCTTTTGGACAGCCAAGGACAAGGTTAACTACCAATGCTGTTGTTGTTGCACCTTGTTTAATGCACATTTCATGTAGTGGATGCAACAGCGCACACCTGCAACAATCGCTACGTGACGTGACAAGTGGCAACTGCTTGACACTTCGACAGTTTTTGTGACGGCGGGCTCATGAATTTTGCCAACTTTTCATGGTTTTGAGCCACAGCTCAAAGCGATAGACAGCCAAACAGAGAGATAGAGAAAGACAGGCAGAGAGCAAGAAAGAGAGGGAGGGAGAGAGAAATGCGAGCAGTTTGTGCAATATTAAAGCAGTCAAACAATGGTTTTGTGTTTGTTTGCAAGCTCTTGCACTGAAAAAAGTGTACCATATCAAGGCATGACTTAAGTGAATTTCATTTTTATTTTTTTGTAATAACAAGTACTAAATGCAATTTGGTTGTACACATCCAAAAATGAATAATTATGGAATATTTCAGACGTAAAATTACTTGCTACACATAAGAATATTTTTAAATCATATTTTGACTTGTTATTTTTTTTCAAATTCGTTATGAGTTATAAATCGTGTTGAATACGCCTGATATTTGGGATTTAAGGCGCAAATAGGGCAATAAATGTCGATTGCAGCTTGAAAGTCTATTTGATAGCTGAGTAACACAGAGAATTAGTAGCCAATCGGCTGAGAGTCAATTTTTAGTAATACATGATTCAAACTATCATTAATTACTTTGTGTTTCATAAAAGTATATTTTAAAAATGAAATAATTGAGTCTAGAAAATTTGTGTTTGAATCTCAACATTTTGGTAGCTTAACCATAATTTTTTCATTATCTTTTTTTTCTTCTGTGTAGCTTGCCTGCACATCTCAGTCTGTCAGTGTGTTTGTGTGTTTGCCATGCAGATAAAAGTGGCTAAAATAACACGTACGAAATATGGCTCGTGGCATATGTGCAATCATTCGTAGCATTTGCGCCGCTTTTGGCTTTGATTGTTCGACGCTCACGTCCTGCTTGACTGGCAATGTTCTTGGCTTGTAATTGAAATTTAATTCAAAGAACAACAATAACAACAACAACGGGAAATAAACTACAGTTGGCTTTCATTCATATTTAAGCCGTCAGCCTTTTAACAAAAGGACAACAAGAAGAGTAGTCTGCCATCTCCCACTGCTGCTGTCAACATTTCCAAATGGCATTAGTTGCCAACAGAATAATGATGTCTCATAGGGGTTCGGGTTTGGGTTGTGATTGGGGGTTGAGTGTGCTACAGCAACCCCAGGCGTATACGCAATCAAAAATTGTATATCATATGACAAATTCAATCAGACAAAGGGCACAACGTAATTGAAGTGTATGCTTTGCCTGTGGCTCGTCATTGCCAAAGACAAATGTTGATGTTGACTTACTGCCTAGACACACACACAAACGCACACGAAACAAGACTAAAAGCCAGACAAGAGAAACAGTAACAACAGCAGCAGCAACAGCAGCACCAGCAGCAGCATCAGCTCAGCAGCTTATCAATTATTCAATCATATTTTGAAACATTGTCGTGCTAAGTGCTATGACACAGAAATCACAGGTATAATTGACTATGAGTTACCCTGTACTCAGCTTAAATCCGTTTATTTCATTGATTCTCTCTTCTTTAGTAGTTCAGAATCGTAATTGTCAATTTTGATTTCAAATAATTGATTTCTAGCATTCTTATATTAGTGAAATCTATTTTTTATCTGAAATACAATACAATACAATCGGAAATAAACCTCTTCTCAATTTGCTAATATAGGCATGTAATACATATATATATATAAATATAAACAAATGTATTTATATGTTTTTATCGGGCTGTTGCTCACATTTGCATACTTATATTTGATGTAATCAAAGCACACTTTTAATTAGTGCAGGGTATAATCAGAAAGCTGATGGGAACTTCAGTTGACAAACTTTTTGAATTATTAAAACAAGCGAACAACTTTTCAACAATTTCTAGAATTTTAAATAATTACTTCAATAAAACCTTAAACTTTCAACTTGTCTGATTGAAGTTTGTTGATGACTGTGAGTCTGACAGTGTGTGTGTGTGTGGATGCGTGCAAGTGGGTTATCTGTTGCAATAGCAGATAGGACATGCACATGCTGACATGTACTCTGATTACTTTGGCTCTGGCCTCTTTTGCTGTCTGGGGGCAACGTCATCCACTTACCACTAATATCCAATTAGCGTACATCGGTCGTGTCCTGGAAAGTGTGCGCTACAAATTATATTTGCTGCGTGCTGCAATTTGTCAACCCTTAAGCGAGCGTAATGGCAGGCAAGCATATGCCATAAAACACACATATGCACACACACACACACACACACACACACTTACACACACACATGTATATGGGCTGTGTGCTAACTGATAAGGCAGCTTCCATAGCATTAGCTTTTATTGTAAATTAGTTATTGGCTTGTCAAACTAAACGATAATAACCCAAAGTCTGAAACTCCATTCTTCTGCTCTTATCTAGCAACATGTGCGTGGCGTAAATCTGAAATAGAAACGGAGCAGAGCGGCAGAGACGCAGAAGGCTGTGTGGCAACAACAGCTAAGTAGTTGGCTACCATTGTTCTTGTGGCGGAAGCGGAAGCGGCGGCGCTCGTTACTTGTAAAATGCATTTACACTTTGAACGCAACATCAACACAAAATGCGACTGCACAATACTATCGCTATCGTGGATGGGCAAGGTGCCCGATGATATACCCGAGGTAAGTCAATTTACTTTTAATGCCGGTCAAAACCTATTAGTCCAGTCAGCAGGCAACTGCTGCCAGTTAATTTGTGTCATCCTACATCCAATATACAAATACAATAAATACAGACAATGTCCATTAAACTGTCGAGCACTTTAAATTGCCGCCTGCCGACACTATTAACGAGTGGCGGCGGCCCAGGGCCATTAGATGAGCTCAACTTGAGTGGGCGGAAGGGTGAGCAGGGAGCAAATGGATGAGTGGGCTGGTTGGCGGTCAGTCTTTCAGCTTTAACAGCATATGAGCGTGACAATGTATAAAATAACTGACTAATGGCAATGGATATGTAAAATCTTTGCACACACAGCATTTTACCTTTAAGGCGAACGACATGCATACAATTAAAGGATTAAGAGCATACATTTTTAAAGCCAAGTGGAAAAAGTTGGTACACAAAAATAAATGAAATGGGAGCAAGGGATTTAAAGATTATCTACAAATAGATTTCCTCGAGTTTTAGAGTACAAATTTAAGTTAAATATGCCAGAGTGAATAATTGTGTTTTCAAGATATTCCACAAATCTATTTCCCAGAATTTTAGATAACAAGCAAAGAAGACTTTCAAAAATGATAACATCAAATTTGTTAGACAAGTCGAGCGCAAAATACAGATTCAGAATTGTTCACAATTATATTTCCCAGAATTGTAGATTGCAAGTTAAGCGTAAAATGTTGTTGCTGACAAACAGAAAGAATTAAACAATATATATTACCAGGAATTTAAATCGATACTCAAAGGGCGAAGCATGAAATTTGTTAGACAAAGATGACAGTTTAATGCCGATAAAAATGTTCTCATTTGAAAACTTAACAGCTTATTAACTCTTTGTTAATATTTAAGCAGGGTATTTGGGCTGCAAGCGAAAAACGTGCCACAAACTTTTTGACAGGTTTCGTTTTGTTATTGATCCGGTTTCCATATCACTCGGTTTTTGTTGATTTTTTTTTTTTTTTTTTGTTGATACGCCTGAGTTCATTTCAGGCATTTCTCAAGTGGTTCCAATTTTGTTTGTCGCAATGGATGCGCACACACAATGGCCACACAGGAAGTGCTGGATTGAGTGGGCGTCCAGGAGCTCATGCCTATTTATAGGGCGCCAACGCGTCCAGTTTGGTTTTGTTGTTTGCTTGCCGCTGTTCGAGCTTAAAATTGATTTTATATGCGGTGGGGCCGGGTGGACGCCTGGGCTATGGCATTAAGTTTGATGCCATGTCTGAGGTCTTAGCTTTTCCAATTATTATGAACGTTCAGTGCCTGCATAACAGACAAACGCCATATAAGCCTTTTTATATTGAATATAAAAATCCAATCACGTTCAATGCGTCTGCGTCTAGAACTGAGCTCATGTGACTGTAACCTGTATCCGGTTCCCGTATCCTGTGTCTTGTGTCTTGTGGCGCCAAATTATAGTCGAGTGGGCGCCTCAAGTGGTGCACCTGCACCGCCAAGACCAACAGCAACTTTACCCTTCTATTGGATCTCCCCCATTCTATATATATATATATATATATATATATGTACATATATAGCTATCTGTTTGTCATTCAGTTTACCCATTCGTCTGGGCAAATGTTTCCCTATGCATAGGAGCAATAGCAATGATTTAATGAACAGTTTTCAATTTCATTTTCAATACACTCGACTCAGTCTGTGTGTGTGTGTGAGTGTGTGTGTGTATCTGTGGGTGTGTGAATTGAAGAGCTCGTGTGTGTGTTTTGTATGTGGTTAAAGGCACGTGTCGGGGTTAGCGCGTGTCGATTCTTGTTCACATACCATTCCCATTCGGATTCCCATTCCCATTTCCAATTCCATTTCCATTCCCAATCCCTATTGCCCATTGCCAAGCGCATGGAGGCTTTCGTTTCATTTTCTCGTTATGTCTTTGCGGCAATTTACGGCCTATACCCTGTTACCGTTAAGATGCGTTGCGTAAGAAGGCGTTTTCGATAAGTATTCGAAATATCGTGTGGGTAATTTCTGGAAATGTTTTAATCTTACGAATTAGATATGCCAAAGTTAGGGAACTCGGTATGTGGATACTCTCGAATTATATGCACCTGATGACAGCGATATCTAAACGAAAAACGTACTCTAAAAACTGATCTTGTCTATTATCTTGGGAAAATGTGTCTTCTTATGAATTGATAAATGAAAGATTATTACTGTTATTTGGCCTTAATATCAGATATCATAACAGCTAGAGATTTAGAGAATTCGACATTATTTTCAAATTTTATGAGAGCTAAGGATTTTTTATTTAACAAATGGGATGCCACTTTTAAGTATATGTATATATTTTTATTGAATTATCGCATTTGATACATATATATAAATTAAATTATATAATAAATTAAATGATTTTGATCATGATATGATATATTAACTCAATAAATTATCGTAATTGAATTAGAGTTATAATAAAAGAGTCCCATCTCTGCTTCTTATATCAATTTCATCTGAATGATTTGCTGTGCATATAGAGTAACCAGGCATTGTAAGATGGCAGCCGGAGGTAGTATGACTTTCCACCTTACATCTAGGTGATATTTCCGAGTTTGAGTTCACGTGGGAAATGGTTGAAGCGTAATATAAGAATAATTATTGTTACAGGGCATCTTTTAGTCTATCTTACTCAATGCACTTGCACTTATTTATCTGGTGATAATCAGTTAACGCAGACGCTTTCAATTCAGTAAATGCTCGAAGCCGCTGGGAGTTGTGACTTTGTTTTCATATAAATCATCTCAGCAGAATGCTTTGCGCTGCTCGACGCTCTTTAAATATTCCCTCAGCGCATGCATTACATCAAAGTATTCGTCAAGTCGCGTTAAGTTTCAAATATATATATATATATATATATATATACATATGAAAGTTACACAAATATATACATTTTTATATTTTGATAGCTGGACTTGGTCCTGGCTGTCATAATGTTTTAACAGGCACATTTCATTGCTGGCGATTTCAACTTGAACTTTTACCGACTGATTGCTTCTATCTCTATATGTATGTATGTGTGTGTGTGTGAGTGTGTTTGCTGTGCCATCAAGGGCCAAGTGTCAGAGACGATCATAAAACTCTGGTCTGTCGCCATGGCAATCAAATTGCCGGGCACAATAGACGAGGCCTCAACTGTAGGCACTGCCAGTGTCAATCTCGAAGTCAAGTGCACAGTGAACAGTGAACAGTGAACAAACTGCACACACATGGAACACACCCTAACCCCCTCTCTTACCACTACCCCCTCAACCCCAACACTAGATCTGCTTAGGGGTTGCAAGTGGCTCAACGGCATTTCACATACATAAATTGACACAACAAACTGATGCGGCGTTTACGTTTCTGACATGCCCCGAAATTAAATCGTAAAATGAAATTCAATACCATTGCATATATGTATTTGTATCTGTATCTATATCTGTGTATGTGTATAAAGCATGCCATGTGGGTGGATGGGTTTGAATGGATGGGTTTCCCCGAAAATCAAAATCAAACTCAGTCGAATGTTGAATTGCATAAAATGCCATTGTCATTGCCTGTCGCCTTCATGGTCATTATGCAAATGCCTGAATGCGCCCAAAATCTGAATTTTAAATGAAATGCTGCCTATATACACTGTTTGTTAGAGAAAAGGGGTTTACTGCTTTCCAACTCACTTTAATTCTTAACATTTCGCTTGGCAATTTTTATAATTATATTGTATAGATTTTGTTCTAGACAAGTGTGTATTACTTGTATCAAGATTAGCAGAGTTGATACAGTGCAGCCATTAGAGAACCTCACAGCCTGTCACGACTAAACTTCAAATTCCAACAAGAATATTTAAGTAATCTCTCGTGTCAAGGAATTTTTAGAGTAGAGGTGGTATTTCACAGTACAACTGTGTGTAACATTTTATTAAAGAGTATGTCATGCGTAAAGACTTTGGACATATATCTAGAATCTAGACAGCAATAGTAGTTCAAAGTGTAAACTGTATATTTTATGAAATACTAATCTGTGCATTTAGAGAAACATTATCTGAGTGCTTTCAAGCCGATAACTAAATAAATTCCCATGACAGGACTTAGCTGTTCTTTGTGTCGGCTGAATTTTAAATTTCCTTTGAACTTGCCACAGAGTGTTGCCCAGTCGCATAGTTCTCACATTACGACACTCGCATTAAATTCATAAATTCATAATTTGAAGGCATAAGCGAATTGTGAGTGGCTTTTCTGTGCGGAAAGGCTTTTCCAAGCCGTCTGCTCAAAATGTATTTTACATATTTATGGCGCACTCGAAAGTATGCTACAATTTTTGCTCATACTTAAATGCCCTCAGATTTTTAGATTTCTGAGCTGACGGCAACTTTTAATAGGGCAAATAAATTGCAAAATACGCCAACTAAGCCGAAGAAATGCCATCATCATCAACTGAGCTGAAGATGAGAGGCCAAAATGCTTGGCATCGCTTCCCATTATTAACTTGGCAAACTGTGCTGATGAAGTTCACCTCGCACCTACTGCAATTATATGTATAGTCGAGAGTCGCTCCTCGGCTCCTGTTTCCTGTTTGGCTTAAGTATTAGCTGGCGACTTAGCAGTAGCTTCATTAACCAAAGCACTGACCCAAGAGCGCTAAGCATCATTAATAAGTCCTTTTTGCTTACGTTGACTGTTCAACTCTCCATGCTCTCACTCACTCTGCATTTATCTCTCCCTCTCTCTCTCTCTCTCTCTCGCTCTCTCGCTCTCTCTCACTCTCTTTCGAGCTTTGCACTGTTTTAATTATGTGCCGTAAAAAATAATCGAGTTCTTAGTTCCATTCAATCCGAGTGCACGGCAAATGACAGCTGAGAACTGGTCACTGACCAGTGAGTAGGGGATGGGCTTGTGGACGAAGGGAGGGAGAGGGAGAGGAGGGTGTTTGTGGTAGCCAATCCCTCTCAGCATTTCTTGCTAATTATGTGCAC